TTACGTGTATTTTGCAAGTTAAATATATTGTAAACTGTTTCCTTATAATAGAGAAAATAAAATTTATAAAGGAAATCATAAGAGAAAATATATTTACTATTCAATAAGTAGATGTGGATCATCATAACGGTATTCATACCGAGTAGGCTGAGGAAGAGGAAGAGAAAGGGTTGGTCTTGCTGTCTTAGGGGTGGCAGAGAGAGGTGGAGGAGGTAGAAGGGGAAGCAGTAAAGGCGGGTACACTCAGTGTCACCTTACGAACATACATTATAATTTCTTTTTTTTTTTTTTGAGATGGAGTTTCACTCTTGTTGCCCAGGCTGGAGTGCAATGGCGCGATCTCGGCTCACCGCAACCTCCGCCTCCTGGGTTCAGGCAATTCTCCTGCCTCAGCCTCCTGAGCAGCTGGGATTACAGGCACGCGCCACCACGCCCAGCTAGTTTTTTGTATTTTTAGTAGAGACGGGGTTTCACCATGTTGACCAGGATGGTCTCGATCTCTCGACCTCGTGATCCACCCGCCTCGGCCTCCCAAAGTGCTGGGATTACAGGCTTGAGCCACCACGCCCAGCCATACATTATAATTTCTGTTTGCCTTTTTGCCTTTTCATTTCTTTAGCAATGTTTCCATACAGTATCAATCCTTCTTCCACTCTTTGCTTTAGTTTCATTGCTCCTATCATAAAAAGGTCTATGTTGTAAAAGAAGTCAAAAGTAGTCTTGAGTAACTGAAACCCTACTGCCAGCTTGCCTAGTGTCAATCTGCTTTCTGACACTGCTTCTTCTATGTCTTCTTCCTCATCATCTGGTACTGGTTTGGAGGCACTGTCTCCAACAAGTCATCTTCTTTTAATGCCTCTGCTGTGGCATATATCAGGCCTTGAATTCTCTGAGATCCATATCTTGACACCATTCGTCCCTCACCTTTTTTGCCATATCCACAAATCTTTCATTATTTCCTTGATGGGCTCTGTCATCAATCTGTGAAGTCATGCACAACATCTGGGCAAAATTTACTCCAGCAGAAACTTGTTTCGAGCTTGATGGCTCTGACGGCTTTTTCTATGACAACAATGGCATCTTGAATGGTATAATCCTTTCATGATGTTCTCGCTGTTGGGCTTCTCCTCCATAAAGCTGACAATCCTTTCAAAAGAGTACCATGTGCAATCAGCCTTAAAGTTTCTTATGACCCCGACTAGCAGCTGAATTAGACATGCTGTGTTTGGGGGCAAATAGACCATTTTGATGCCTTTGGTGTTGAACCCATGGTGTTCTGGTGGCCAGGGGCATTGTTCAATGTCAAAAGAACTTTTTAAAAGGTAGTTCCTTACTGGGGGACTACCAGGGAGAAAGTATTGATGGAACCAATCTAGGCAAAGGGTTCTTTTTTCCCACGTCCCTTTGTACAGCCAAAAGGCTGGCACTGGGTGTTTAGGCTAGCAGCTTTATGGTTAAGGTCAGTTTGGATCATAAACCCAACTGCACTGGCACAAAACAGTACAGTTATCCTACTCCTTCCTGCCTTAAATACTAGTGCTTGCTTCTCTTACTAATAAATGTCTTTTGTGGCTTTTTTTTTTTTTTTAAAGACAGAGTCTTGCCTTTCCCCTAGCCTGGAGTGCAACGGCGGGATCTTGGTTCACTGCAACCTCTGCCTCCTGGGTTCAAGCAATTCTCCCGCCTGAGCCTCCTGAGTAGCTGGCATTACAGGCACCTGCCATCAAGCCCAGCTAGGTTTTGTATTTTTAGTAGAGACAGGGTTTCACCATGTTGGCCAGGCTGGTCTTGAACTCGTGACCTCAGGTGATCTGCCTGCCTTGGCTTCCCAAAGTGCTGGGATTCAGGCGTGAGCCACAGTGCCCAGCCTTTTAGTGGCTTTTTTTTTTTTTCCAGAATAGGTCACTTTCGTCTGCCACAAAACCTGTTCAGGCAGATTCCTTTTTCTTTTTATTTTGTTAATGACATCTTGGAATTCATCTTCTGCCTCTTGGTCAGAAGAAGCTGCTTCTCCTGTTATCTGGATATTTTTAAAGCCAAACTTTTTTCTAAAATTATCAAACCATCTTTTGCTGGAATTAAATTCTACAGCTTCATTTTTTTTTTTTTTTTTTGAGATGGAGTTTCGCTCTTGTTACCCAGGCTGGAGTGCAAATGGTGCAATCTTGGCTCACTGCAACCTCCACCTCCTGGGTTCAGGCAATTCTCCTGCCTCAGCCTCCTGAGTAGCTGGGATTACAGGTGGCATGCACCTGTAGTCCTAGTTACTCAGGAGGCTGTGAGGCAGCAGGATTTCTTGAGCCCAGGAGTTTAAGGTTACCATGAGCTATGATCATGCCATTGCACTCCAGCCTGGATGACAAAGTGAGACCCTGTCCCTTAAAAAAAAAAAATGGAAGTAAACGTATTTCACAAAGTGCAAGGTTTTCACACTTGATGATATAGCTGCAGTGGCAGCTTCTCCAAAAAACATTCTAATGTATTTATTGAAAAAAATCCAAGCTAGATGTGGTAGCAGGTGCCTGCAGTCCCACCTACTTAGGAGGCTAAGGTGGGAAGATCGCTTGAGCCCAGGAATTCAAGTCCAGCTTGGGGAATACAGTTGAGACCCTGTCTCTATTTAAAAACAAAAAAACCAAAAAACTTTAAGTTTCTTTAAGTAGACTCGTACAGTTTAAAATCGTGTTGCTCAAGGGTCAACTGTACCCTATGATCATATCTTTCTAGAGTACATTCACTATCCGTGCTGATGTTACTCTGCTCCTTATTCTCTTTATTCTTATAATCACATTGAAACTTTTTTTGTTTGTTTTGGAGAGAGTCTCGCTCTGTCACCAGGCGCCAGGTTGGAGTGCAGTGGCGCGATCCTGGCTTACTGCAACCTCCACCTCCTGGGTTCAAGCAATTCTCCTGCCTCAGCCTCCCAAGTAGCTGGGACTATAGGCTCACGTCACCACACCCAGCTAATATTTGAATTTTTTAGTAGAGATGGGGTTTCACCATGTTGGCCAGGATGGTCTCGATCTCTTGACCTTGTGATCTGCCCGCCTCGGCCTCCTGAAGACCTTGAAACTTCTATTGTTCATTTTATTTATTTATTTTTTGAGACAGAGTCTCCCTCTGTCACCCAGGTGGGAATGCAGTGGCGCGATCTCAGCTCACTGCAACCTCTGCCTCCTGGGTTCAAGTGATTCTCCTGCCTCAGCCTCCCAAGGAGCTGAGATTACAGGCACCTGCCACCATGCCTGGCTAATTTTTGTATTGTTTAGTAGAGACAGGGTTTCACCATGTGGCCAGGCTGGTCTTGAACTCCTTATCTCAGGTGATCCACCCACCTCAGCTTCCCATGATCCACCCACGTCAGCTTCCCAAAGTGCTGAGATTACAGGCATAAGCCACTGCGCCCAGCCTACTATTTATTTTAATATAGTTGTAATAGTTGTCAGAATCAAAAGGTAGTCATGTGTGTTTAAGAAATGCTGACAAACAGAGCGAAGGAAAGCTATGAACAGAGAGTTCTCACACTTGTATGCCTGATAACAAAACAATCACAAAAAAAATTACAAAAGCCACAACCTGGTATAAAGGTCATTGCAACCTTATGCCAGAAATATTAATACTTCTGCAAGGACACCTGCCCAGCCCAACCTTGGACTGGTATCACCCTTGTTACTGGTAGCTGTAGCCAAGGATAATTATCATTTCAAAACAATTATGTAATCTTCCCCAATTTTCCTTTAAAACCCTGTGTCTCCCTTTACCTTCCTGAATATGCATATTGTTTACCATGGCACACATATGCCCACTGCAATGCCCTATTCCTGAATAAACATCATTTTCTTTCAGAGAACCTCTCTTTGTTATACACGGTGACATTAGTTTTCCTAAATGTTTAAAAGATGTGTTTTTAGAAGGAAAGCACATTTTCTAGTTTCAAAAAGCTCCCTCTTGCATGTTGAAAATCTGGTGGCTTGTTTCCTTAAATTGCTGGCTCTGTTCCGACTCCTTCTTTGTCATGATTGTTCCTATAACCTGCATAATTTCGATGTCATTCCCAGGAGCTCCACCTGCATGGGAGCCTGTCCTGGAAGAGCATTGTTAGATCAATTTCGAGAGTGCACAAGGTTAGACTGCTCCAGCCTCTTCCAACCCTCCTGGGGACCCCTTGTACTTACACACTACTGGTTACTTAGGGGATCCTAAGTACCCTATTCTTGGGAAGACCTGCCCTCTCCACACTGATGTTGATACCGTGCAGATTTCATGGCTGTGGGTTGGCTAGTTGCCCTTACCTGTTTTTATTTTGGAATTTAGGCAGATACCTTGTCACCTACTTTTGTCGTAAATGTTATACAGTGTTTTCAGTTTTTCTACCGACAGCAATCTTTTCTTTAGACCAAGTCTTAGTCTGTCACCCAGGCTAAAGTGCAGTGGCACCACCTCAGCTCACTGCAACCTCTGCCTCACAGGTTCAAGTGATTCTCCTGCCTCAGCCTCCTGAGGAGGTGGGAGGTGCGTGCCACCAGGCCCAGCTAATTTCTGTATTTTCAGGCTGGAAAATATTAGCCAGGCTGGAACTCCTGACCTCAAGTGATCCGCACACCTTGGCTTCCCAAAGTGCTGAGATTATAGACGTAAGCCACCACACCCGGCCACCTAACATCAATGTAAATAGAATGACTATCAAGGTACCAGTTCTAAGTATGAGCATGGGAAATTACAAGCCTTAAAAATATAAATTGCCATTGACGCTATAATCCTAATTCTGGGATTTATCCTAAAGAAATAATATCATTAGGCAAGTGAAAAAAATATGCGTGTATGAAGCTGCTCTGGTCTGGCCTTAGGGTGCGCTCCCCTCTACCTGCTCATTTTTAACTCTTACTTTTACTGTAAGTATTGTCCCCAGTGGTATCTTATTTGTAATTGTGAAACTGTCCAGTCCTGTTAAGTTTGAGTAATCAACTAATATATAACTAACAAAATTTAAAGATACACACCTTCAAATGTTGGTCCATAAATCGACTCTCCGTTATCACCTTTTCCAGACACTATATCTGAGAAATAACAGTAAATAAACGTTTGAATTTTGAGATAAAAAGACTTAGGACACAGTAATGACAGGGAAAAAATGATGCTTTAAATGGTGATTCCAAGGCTGAGGTGGGATGATCACTGGAGCCTAGGAGTTTGAGACCAGCCTAGACAGCATAATGAGACTCCATGTCAATTAAAAAAAAAAAAAAGAATAGGCCAGGTGTGGTAGCTCACGCCTGTAATCCCAGCACGTTGGGAGGCCAAAGCAGGAGGATCACCTGAAGTTAGGAATTTGAGACCAGCCTGGCCAAAATGGTGAAGCTCTGTCTCTACTAAAAATATAAACATTGGCCAGGCGTGGTGGTAGGCATGTATAATCCCAGCTACTTGGGAGGCTGAGGCAGGAGAATCACTTGAACTCAGGAGGCAGAGGTTGCAGTGAGCAGAGATCACACCATTGCACTGCAGCCTAGGCAACAAGAGTGAAACTCCAACTCAGAAAAAAAAAAATACAATGTGATTCCACTTATACCAACGAATAGAGTAAGTTACCTAATTGTTCAACATGTGTACCATGAAAATATTCCTATGATAATTTCACATATATTTTGTAAGCACTTTTACGTTCATAGATAATGCCAGCTTTTGAAAGGATAAAGCATTAAATTATAATTGTGGCCACAATTTTCAGAAGTATATTTACATAAATTCTGCTTACTTCCTAAGTTATTCCACAGTCCATTATACTTTTCTGAGATCAAGATTAAACTGAGAGGCTAAAATAGGAAAAGTAAATTCTCTTTAGAATATGTAAAAGATAGAGCTCAGTGCGGTGGCTCACACCTATAATCTCACCACTTTGGGAGGCTGAAGCAGGCCAATCACTTGAAGCCAGGAGTCCGAGACCAGCCTGGCCAACATGGTGAAACCTGCCTCTACTAAAAATACAAAAATTAGCTGGGTATGGTGGCAGGCTGAGACACAAGAATTGCTCGCGTCCAAGAGGCGGAGATTGCGGTGAGCTGAGATTGCGCCACTGCATTCCGGCCTGGGGGACAGAGTAAGACTCCGTCTCAAAAGAAAAAAGAAAAAAAAGAAGAAAAGAAAAAAATAAGAAAATGAATAAAAAAAATAGGTGCTGCAAACAGAATTCATGTTCAAAATTTCATATCCTATAGTGATAACTTATTTACCTAATGTATTAGAAATAAAGTTTCCCATAATGGAACAAGGGTTTTTTTAGGTATTCTTATGATAGGCATATTTTGGTTTAGGCAATGCTCCCACCGCAAAAAGACTCCATGTCCTTGTCCCTGAATAAGTTATTTTTTATCTATCCACAGCTAAAAGAGGAGCAAAGCTAACGCTAGTGAAAAGAGCAGGCTCTGAGATCTGCCCTCTCTCCCCCCATCCTCCCCATGAGAATCTCTCTACTAACTTCAGTTCTCTACTCCACTCCTTTCTCGAATACAGTGCTCAACAAATATTTATTGAAGGACTATGTTTTTTAAAGTCAGTATCAGCAATTTACCTATAATAAAAGCGTGTGTGCTATTTTTAAAAGAAAACTGATACAACACCAAGTATTTAAAGAGATTTTATCCCAGAAAGGCCATGCAGCATTTAAATTATATAACTCATAAAGCTGGCTCAGAAGTTAATTGATAAACCTTAAGTCTCCAACCGACTCTCCTAACACTCAGCCACGGTTCACAATACAGCCCCAGGCAGCTCTGGAAAGGAAGTTGTCATGGCTGAAGGCTAAATCCGGAAATGGGGAAGCTGAGGGCCCCCCAGCATCAATTCCTTCAGATCCTAGAGGTTGTTTCACTCAGGGAAATCTGCCCAGGTGGTCTTCTCCCTACTAACTTACCTACGCACTGGTCCCACTTCCTTGCCCCCTCCCTCCCACACCCACCAACATCACTCTTGTTCTCTGCTTCAGATCTCCTAGGTGAATATTTTATATTGACACCATTTCAATTGTATTTACTATTCTTTTTTTGTGTCCATAGTCCACCCTCTTGAATTCAGCCTTATATATCTGATATTATTTCTATACTTCTGACAACAAATTCAGAGGTGCTGGATAGTGGTTAAAACCAAACTTTAAAGTCAGATGATTTTGATTAAAATGTTGATGTCCGTTACTTTTTCCAAGCCTGTTTGCTCATCTGCATAAACAGGGATAATGGTAACTGCCTCACAGGTAGCTCTGAGAATGAAATGAAATAACACAGGTAGAGCACTCGGGCAGTACTTGGCAGAGTGTCATGCCCATGCAGCATCACATGCTTCTAGAATGCCCCTCTCATTATCATCATCTTCATCATTCTGCTCAATATGATGATGATAATAATAAAATGCATTAATTTATCTCAAAAGATCCTTCTGGACTCACACTGAAGAAACGTCTTACGAAGAGAGGAAATGTGGTAATGGCCTTTGGTGTTCTAGTTCTACTTGATAACATAAAACAACTCATTCTGGAGAAAAACTCTGAATGTACAGAACGTGGCCAGGTGCAGTGGCTCATGCCTGTAATCCCAACACTTTGGGAGGCTGAGGTGGGAGGGTCGCTTGAGGCGAGAAGTTCAAGACCAGCCTGGGCAATACAGGGAGACCTTGTCTCTACAAAAAATTTTTAAGAATTAACTGGGCATGGTGATATGTGCCTATAGTCCCTGCTACTTGGGAGGCTGAGGTGGGAGGAATTCAAGGCTGCAGTGAGAGCTATGATTGTGCCATTGCATTCCAGCCTGGATGACAGACTAAGACCCACCTGCCTATATTCCCAGCACTTTGGGGAGGCTGAGGCAAGAGGATTGATTGCTTGAGTTCAGGAGTTCAGGAGTTCAGGACCAGCCTCGGCAACATATAGAGACCTTGTCTTCACAAAGAAAAAATTTAAAAATTAGCTGGGCATGGTAATGTGTACCAGTAGTTCCAGCTACTTGGGAGGCAGAGGTGGGAAGATCACTTGAGCCCAGGAGGTTGACGCTGCAGTGAGCTGTGATTGTGCCACTGCACTCAGCCTAGGCGACAGAACAAGACCCTGTCTCAGAAAAAGAATGTGGGAATGCCTTCATTTCATTCAAATCCATTCTAATATACACTGGGGATGGACCTTATAAATATAAATATACACACTTGGTTAGAACCCTAGTAGTTAGGAAAACACAGAAAAGTTCTTCATTTAGACAATTACTTTAAAAGTCATGTGAAAACTCCTACTAGAAAGAAATCCTATAAATGTTAAGTCAGATGGAAAGCCTGAAGCAAATTAATTATTTTGTAATGATTGTGAAATTTCGCAACATGAATGAAATGTTTTATGAGTTATAAACATCGTGCTTATCAGTGGCTCATTCTTCTGCTTTATTTGTTTTTACTACTTTCATTCATATCTCTTTACCTTCAGCCAACTCTCACCATAGCAGCGCTCATCCTTAAAGAGAGCCTTTGGACTATGGATTTCCACTTTTTTTAAAAACAAGGGAACACTGAGGTAAGAATTATGTAGGTTCTCTTTAAGCAATAATATGTGAGTTCAGCTGGGAACAGTGGCTCAAGCCTGTAATTCCAGCACTTTGGGAGGCCAAGGTGGGCAGATCACTTGAGTCAGGAGTTCAAGACCAGTCTAAACTGGTCAACATGGTGAAACCCCATCTCTATTAAAAACAGAAAAAATTAGCTGGGCATGGTGGCACATGACTATAGTCCCAGCTACTAGGGAGGCTGGGGCAGGAGGATCTCTTGAACCCCAGAGGTGGAGGTTGCAGTGAGCTGAGCTGGTGTCACACACTCCAACCTGGACTATGGAGCAAGACTGTCTCAAAATAACAATAATAATAATAATAATAATATATGAGTTCAATAGGTATTTTTTTTCCTAAAGCCAGTTAATATTTTCCTCTATTCATTTTAAAGTGTGTTGGGTGTGTAGGTAAAATGAAATGTATTTCTAATATATAGGTAGGTTTAATTGTTAACAGTTTGGTAACTGCTCTGTGACTAATGGGCTATTGGAAAATGAGTCTTTCTTAAGTGTTTGAATTTTCTTACTGGAATTATTTGGCAGGTTCTGGATATCCTTACCCATTATATATCTTTTAGTCTTATGTAAAACATGATCCTTTTTGTGTAAAAAAGTTCATTTCATTTTCTTTGATTAACAAAGAGTTGGTATTTTTAAAAAAATCCTTCTGAAGGCAGTAGGCCTCAAAGGAGCCCGAGGGGGAATCCAACCAAAGTGGTGTAACAAGTTGATATCCTCTTTAACTTTGCACTTTAAAAATGCAGAGAATGTATGTTTCCTGTTTAACTATCTATTTTTATTTTCTCTCTCTCTTTATTTCTTCCTTCTTTTATTTCTACAAGTATTTATTAAGCACCTACTATATCTCAAGCACTGTTCTGGTTCCTGGGATACCATAGTGAATAAAATAAATAAAAATGTCTGCCCCCACGGAATTTAGAGAAACAGACAATAAACAAAAGAACTAAGAAACATATGGTTGCATGTCTAGTGATGAAAAGTGCTAGGAAGAAAGATAAAGCAGGGTAAGGAGTAGGAGGGTGGCAGGAGGGGTGAGCGGAGTATGTGCAGAGGAAGATGGCAGTTTCATATACGGTCCAGTGAGGCCTTGCTGAGATGAACTCTGGGCGAGAATCAGAAATGGGGTGAAGCAAGGGATACCTGGAGGAACAGCTGAGTGGTGTGTGCCCAGGCAAAACAAGCAAGGCCTCAGGGCCCATGTATGGTTGATGTGCTTAGGAGGCTGCCAGAGGCTGGTGTGTGCAACAGTGTCTAAGAGGTCAGAAGATAAGCTGTTGGGGGAGGAGCAGGCAGTGTCGACTGGGTAGACACTGTTAGTCTCAAAGCCTGTTAGTCTCAAAGGGCAAGCAACAGTGCCTGAAAGCATCCTAAGGCACAGCACAAAACCATGTTTAGCCCCTGTCCTCCAAAATCCCACACAGTCCTGTGGTATCAGAGGCATGTGAACCAGAGCAACTCCAACTTGAATAGGAGCTGGGTAAAATGAGGCTGAGACCTACTAGGCTGCATTCCCAAATGATTAAGGCATTCAAAGTCACGGGATGACATACGAGGTGGGAACAAGGTACAGGTCATAAGGACCTTGCTGATAAAACGGGCTGCAGTAAAGAAGTTGGCTAAATCCCTCTAAAACCAAGATGGCGATGAGAGTGACCTCTGGTTGTCCTCACTGCTAAACTACCACCAGCGCCGTGACAGTTTACAAATGCCATGATATCAGAAAGTTACCCTATATGGTCTCAAAAAGGGAGGCATGAAAAATCCACCTTTAGCATATAATAAAAAAAAAAACCCATAAAAATGGGCAACCAGCAGCCCTCGGGGCTGCTCTATCTATGGAGCAGTCATTCTTCTGTTCCTTTACTTTCCTAATAAACTTACTTTCACTTTACTCAATAAACTCACCCTGAATTCCTCCTTGTGAGAGATTCAAGAACCCTCTCTTGGGGTCTGGATCCAGATCCCTCTCCTGTAATACTGGGAACTAGATATCTGTAGGGTGAAAGTATGTTTCTTTCCAGAGCTTGGCACTTTCAACACACCAGATCATTGAATCCTCACCACATCCTGTGATCTTCTTATCATTAACCCCATTTTATGATTAAGAAACGGATTCAGGGAGGCCAAGTGGCTTATCCATGGTGGTATAACTTTCATGAATCAGAGCTTAGATTTGAATCTAGCAATCTAACTTTTTCCCAAACTGTCCTTAACACTGCTGCCTCACTAACTGAAAACATGACCCAAGATCTGTTGCACTTTACTATTTTGAAATTTTACTTTAAATAAAAACACAAACAAATAATATGATCTTCTTTTCCCAGATCTTGCAAGGGTGGTAGGAGCTAAGCAAAAACAAAAACAAAACAAAAGAATACAGCATCTGAGTCCAGGTGTGGTGGCTCACACCTGCAATCCCAGCACTTTGGGAGGCAGAGGCAGGGGAATCACTTGAGGTCAGGAGTTCAAGACCAGCCTGGCCAACACGGAAAAACCCATCTCTCTCAAAAATACAAAAATTAGCCAGGCATGGTGGTGGTGCATGTCTATAGTTCCAGTTACTTAGGAGGCTGAGCTGGGAGGATCACTTGAGCCAGGAGGTCGAGGCTGCTAAAAAAATCAAGGTACTAAAAATGTCAAGGCACTCAAGTTGAGGTACTAAAAAATACTTAAAAAAATAAAAAATTAGCCAGGTATAGGGGTGGATGCCTGTAATTCCTGCTAATCGGGAGGCTGAGGCAGAAAGAATTGCTTGAGCCCGGAGTGGGGAGGTTGCAGTGAGCTGAGATCACGCCACTGCAATCCAGCCTAGGCGACAGAGTGAGATTCTGTCTCAAACAAAACAAAACAACAAAACAAAACAAACAAACAAAAAAAACCCAGCATCTGAGAGCCTAGCACATGAGAGTCAACAGTGAACTCAGTGTCAGGGGCCCTGATGCCAACAGGCCCCCAGAAGAAATGTTTTATACTAACCAAAAATGGAAAACCATCTAAATGTTCACCAATGGGGAATTAACTAAACTTGTATAGCAATATGATAAAAAAAAAAAAACACAACTTGGCAGACGCTAAACATTTTGTATGCTTATGTTTGTTAACACCAGAAGATGGATACCACATATTAAGTGGAAAGACACAATATGGAAAAACATTTAAAAGTGAGGTTAGATGACAATATTTGTGATATGATCTCATTTTGGAGAACCAAAGGGGAAGTGCTTTAACATGCAGGATGCTTGGAATGTATCTATATTTTTCTCCTCATCAGCCTCAGAATGTCCCAGATCATACACAAAAAGGTAAACACTAATTTAAGCTTCTGCATTTGTCATCGAGTTCAAGCAAATCTCCTTTGACACTAAGACAGTTATTTGTAAATTGCTGCCTGGTTGTTCCCTATGGAATATCCCCCAAAATTTAATTTCGTGCTTTTAATCAGAGTATAAAAAACCAAAGGACTGATCTCAAAAGAAAGAGAAAATAGAAGCCAAAATCCTTTATACATTACTTTTTACTTGTAACAATGTAACATCTTTGGTAAGAAATAAGTTGTTTTTCATTTATTCTATTTTTAAATTCCCGCTCTTAGTACACTTATTAAAACCGCCTGTATTTCTAGGTACAAAAATTTCGACTGAGCACTTGAAATTGCATTTTGGTACAACAAAATGTTACCCTACTCTCCTATATCATTTCTGAATGTGGAATATTCCTGGTAACATAATTTAGATTTATTTATTTTAATAATTAGGGTGTTTTTTAAAAGAATACAAATATCTTACTGCATTATTTGTCTTCATTTAAGTAGAATTTTAAGTATATCTAATTCTACATACATTTCATAAAGATAAATAAACAAAGGTTTGGACTGTCTCATTTGATATTGCAATTAAGTTGTTTTTAAGATTTTAAACTCACCCCCTCCTTGTATCCAGCCATTTGGTACTATTCGATGAAAAATGGAATCTTTGTAATGTAGCCTTATGCCACTTTGAGAAAACCCTGCTTTTCCTGTGCACAAGACCTGAAAATTTTTACATGTTTTGGGACACACATCACAGTATAGCTACAAAATAAAGACAAAAGGTTTCAAAGATTAAATATTTAACAGTCCAACAGTTACAGAACCTACCCCCACAGATGTATTAAAAAAAAAAAAAAGGTCTTACCTCAAAAATCAATCTTCCAATTGGAGAAGAATCAATACAAATGTCCAAAAACACAAAATTGTGCTATGGAGATAAAGAGAAAAAATATAATGCAGGTCTATGTCTTAAAAGAAAGTTTTTTACAAATTACCATAAATATAGCAGATACAATATTTTTAGTGATAATATTTCAATAACATTACCAATGGATAATATAACAGTAAAATTAAGTGAATGACTTATATTCGTTTATTTCATTTTATCAAGCTTTTACAACCCACTTCACACATTTTTATTTTTATTACTGTATTTATTTGTTTATTTTTGAGACAGGATCTGGCTCTGTCCCACAGGCTGGGGTGCAGTGGCACCATCTTGGATCACTGCAGTCTCGACTTCCTGGGCACAAGTGATCCTACTACTTCAGCCTCCCAAGTAGCTGTGACTATAGACATGCATAGCCAGCATATCTGGCTAATTTTTGTATTTTCGGTGGAGATGGGGTTTCACCATGTTGCCCAGGCTGGTCTCGAACTCCTGAGCTCAAGGGATCCACCTGCCTTGGCCTCCCAAAATGCTGGAATTATAGGCATGAGCCCCAGCACCCAGCCCATATTATACATCTTTAAAATCCTTCAGTAGTGAAAGCTCTGGAAAACATTAACCTATCTCACAGGAGTGAAACACATGGCCTAGATATCTACTACATCACAACTAGGGGTGTGGAAATAGCCGCACCTAGTTGGGGGAAGAAAACAGACCGGGGATTCTTCTCTACTTCTCTTCTTTCCTGAGTACTTTTGGGAAAGATCCATCATGAACACCATGGCTTTGGTTACCGTGTGTCCCAGATTTTCAGAGACAGCAAAGATTCGCTAACCAGAGCCAGGCCACATCTGTTCTGAGTGGGAAAATCAGGTCCCTGCATCCACAGCAGGTATAGCACCAGAGGTCGGGAAAAGAAGGATGCTGGGCTTTCAAGTTATATTCAGTAACACTCTCACATGCACAGGTGTCCCCAGCTTATTTTCACTTGATATCCTTTCTGGTAGAAAAAAACATTTGTGATACCTTATCTAGCCCTATAAAGAGAGGCATTAGTAATGAAAATGCTAGTTTCGACACAATAGTATTCACTTAGTAGCCAAAGCATATTTAATGGAGTACATTTCAAATCTTGGGCACCATTCTCCTAAATGAAAATGCCACCTTGGCTCATGCCTGTAATCCCAGCACTTTAGGAGGTCAAGGTGGGTGGATCACTTGAGCCCAGGAGTTTGAAACCAGCCTGGGCAACATGTTGAGATCCTGTCTTTACAAAAAAATTTAAAAATTAGCTAGACATGGTGGCATGTGTCTGTAGTCCCAGCTACTCGGGAGGCTGAGGCAGTAGGATCACCTGAGCCCAGGGAGGTTTGAGACTGCAGTGATCCATGATCGTACCACTGCATTCCAGCCTGGGTGACAGACTCTATCTCAAAAAACAAAAAGAAAGAAAGAAAAAAACATCTTATTGAACAAGGTGCATAATTTATCCTGCTCTCTTTCTTAGGAATCTAGGAAATGAATGACATTAAATGCATCATATTATTATATGTCACTCTAACTTTTTTTAAAAATTAAAAGACTGAAATAACATTGTGCTATCTGGCATCTAGCAATGAAGTATTACATTCACACTAATTATAATTAATTTGTGCCTCTCAGTGTCTGTACAAGTTCTTAATTACAAAAGAGACTAGCGTAACTAAAGAATAGGAGGCATAATAATATAGTAAACTTCAGAGGCTCAGAATGATAAAGATGATATACTGGTAATCATGGGTGACTCAGGAAATGGACTTACTGTCCATCCAGGCACCATTAAACTTCTCTGTGCATCAAGATATTATCTTTATGAGGTAGTCCAGAGTAGATAGTTCTGAAAATGCCAATATAAGAGTTCAAATGACTGTAACACAAGGTAATGTCCCAGTCACCTAGCAGCCAAACAGGCAAGCATATTTGTCTACCATATTGTTCTAACCAGAAGTAAACAAATTCTTGGGTTTTATTTAGCAAGAAAAGCCCACCCTCTGTGCAATTAAAAAAAAAAATCTAAGGATTGTCTCTGGAATTGAGGTCCTCCATCCTCACTGCCTCAAATTATTTCAGGCTTTCATTATGTCTAGCTCATGCTGCTATAGCTGCTTTCCAATTCCCTGCTGCCAAGCTCTCCCCTACTCCAGCCTACTTCTGCACAGACCTAAATATTTTTCCAAAAGAGCAAACAGGGCTGGGCGCAGTGGCTCACACTACAATCCTACTACTTTGGGAGGCCGAGGCTGGCGGATCAAGAGGTCAGGAGTTCAAGACCAGCCCGGTCAATATGGTGGAGCCCTGTCTCTACTAAAAATACAAAAATTAGCTGGGCATGGTGGTTTGTGCCTGTAGTCCCATCTACTCCGGAGGCTGAGGCAGAAGAATTGCTTGACCCCGGGAGGCAGAAGTTGCAGTGAGCTGAGTTGCACCACTGCACTCCAGCCTGGCAAGACAGCAAGACTCTGTCTCAACAACAACAACAACAATAAAGAGCAAAGAGGATTACATTATACTCTTTATGGAAAGCTTTGTTGGTTCAGTTTTCTTCTGGATAAAATCTAACTCCTCCGTTCAGATGCACAATAAATCATAATTTGGCCTCAAACTTTTGTTAGGATCTACTGGATTTTTTTTCCCCTAATTAAAATCTGAATACCCTTCCTATCTGGGGAACTTCTTGCAGGGTCCCACCACCTTCACTAGATCCTAAAGGGGTTAGATTCTCCCTCTCCCCATGCTGAGAGCACCAGGTTTTGGGAATATGACCTAGGCTTGCCAGCTAGGTGCTCCTGCCTGGGCTTAGGTCTCTAGGGGTGATGATGCAGGCACTGGAGCGTTGAGCAGTTAATCTCGGTGAAGGAGGTGGTGTGGACAAGGGCCAGCAGTGCTGTGCCACTTCCCTGGCCACACATCCCTGCGGTGTGACTCTGACCACGTCTTCCTGCTGCCAGGCCTCGTTGATTCCTGCCTGTTTTCCAAAGCTGCTGTCCAGCTTTCCCGTCAATTGTGAGATAACTAGTATCCTTTCAATACACACCTTTTCTCTTTCAATCAATCAGCTTGGTAATGCTGGCACCAAGAATCTTGACTGAAACTCATTTTCCTAGCTTCATTCCCCACCAATTGTGACCTCCTTGCTGTCCCCTTGCCATTCCCAAAGCATGTACTGCTAGACTCCTGACTCTGTGGGAATTAACCATTTGAACATTAAATTCCTCCCCGCATCCTAGAGTTTCTAGAATTTTCAAAGTGCAGTTTTTTTTCAATCTAACATTCACTGAGCACCTATTATGTTTCAGGTCTGTTTGAGCAGTGCTTCCACAAGGATGAATGAGACAAGGCCTTTGCCTTTGCACAGCTCAGATCACCAAGTCACTGTGGGCACAGGCTGCCATGGGCATGAAATGATTTTCTGCATGATGCAGTCGTTGCTACAAGATTTCTGAGCAGAACTGCAAAGTCCCTCCAACCCTATCGCCATCACATCCTGATACCTGTCTCTCACCTCTGGACCTTATGCTTCATGACTATCCTCTGTCACTAGAAACCTCCTCACTGGCACAGCCTGTCTGGGCTTGCTCTTGCCAACTATCTGTTCATGCTCTAATACGTAAGCTTTCTTCAATCAACTTGCCATTCTCTTAGTTCTTGCCTAGATATTGGACAGTCTTAATTCAAATATTTTATACTCAAGATGAATGGATGATAGGCTTGACCTTCTCTGAAGGGGCAGTCTTTATATTTTAAAATGGATAATTCATGCATATGCATCTCTAATGGGAGAAGAAATGTTTGCCCAGAGATGATCTCTCTGTGCAGCCCACATGCTGTGAGATACACTTGCTTTACATACCACCATATGATAACCTTTTGCAACTGGAACCGGAACTAGACTTTAAACTTAGACTCCTACTTTTTTATAATCTCCTTCATTAGGATACCAATAATTAATGCTGAACCAATATAAAGGGTCAAAGATTCCATGATTTTTCTTTAAAAATTAGTGTAACTTGCCTTGGTGTCTCTTAAGAATTTAGTGGAAAAATCCTCAGCAAGTGCGTCATAAAGTGCAGAGGGTTTAACATCAACTATATCCCACACCTCATGGGCCCATTTCTGCAGATCCAATGCATCACCCAGGAGCTGACCATTAACAAAAGACATCACGGAGGAAGAATATTCCCAGGTTTCATTTTTCAGTTCCTGTAAGGGAAAAGGACCAAAAAAAAAGTAAGAAGTGGGGGAAAACTTGCTAAACTCATAAGCCAGAGCTGGGAATCAACTCTAGGTCTGAGTTTGTCAACTCTTGGATTGAATCTTTTAAAAATATGTTTTTATTGTCCTTTAGAATTTTTCTCTCAGAATTTAAGAACATTTTTTAAGAATCTGACATCACTAAAAGCAAATGATCTAAAAAGTAATCATAAAAATGTTACAAATGAAAAAACAATGTAGCCGAGAAATGCCAGCCCTTTTAAATTATCATGCCCAAAAAGGCATTTAAAATGCAACAGCAGTTACGCCTCACTCCACCTTGAGCTAAATAATTACCTCCACTCACAATGTGGTCTCTAGACTGACGCCAAACAGCCACGACATGCCATCCACCCGATAGTTTAACAACGTATAGCCAATCACTAACCAATGCTACTTCTGTAAATCAGTGACAGTTCCTGACCAACAGCTTTTGTAGTCACCTGCTCTTCTGATTCATTCTTGTTTCTTTAAACACTTGAGCCTCTATTTTGTTCTCTGGAGCACTCCCCAACGCAACCTGGAGGTGTGTCCCGGCTGCAGTCCTCAACCTCGGCCCAAATAAGCATTCTTATCTTAATTTTGTTTCAGCTTTTTCCTTTTAGGTCAACACACTAATAGAAGATAAATGGTAATCTGGTCATAAAAATCATCATGAGCCTGGCATACTTGTATATGAACTTGCAAACAAAATTCAGTCTCTGTCTTCATGTCTAAAGCACATTTTTACTGTGTGCATACTTGGAAAGGTTAGGGGTTCCAGGTAAGACATGGGTTTCAATGCAGAGGACTGAGAAAATGTTTTTTGCATGGGGTTGGGGATAGGGTTAGGAAATGACTTATGAGGGTCAACAGTCTGGAGCACAATCAGGGGCAGTGGGGAAGAAAATTCACCTTCCTCAGCACTGTTTCCAGCCCCTCAAAATGCAGTATGTTAGTGTTTTCATCAACAAAACCTTCTAAATCTCCAGTGGACTTGAGGGACATCCCCTCTGAGGAGATCTGGTTTATTATTACCCAGAGCCAGCCAGGCAAACCATGAATAATTTGGAATAGCCATGCTCGAACTTTAGTGGGCAATGAGAATCACTGAATCTGAGTTCCCTCTTCCGCTCCCTGCATATTCTGATTCTAGGATGGAGCCTGAGTATTTGCACTTAGTTATTTTTTCATCTTTTGGAGATGGGGGTCTCACTATATTGCCTGGGCTGGTCCTGAATTCCCAGGCTCAAGATCCTCCTGCCTCAATCTCCCAGACTGTTGGGATTACAGGTGTTTGAGCTACTGTAACCAGCCAGAACATGTATTTCCAACAACTTCTTAGGAAGGGCTGGTGCTGCTGTTCTAGAGACTGCACTTGGAGAAATATTAGTTTGGAGAACAATTTACATTCAACTTGCCCACTTGCTTCATTTTCCTCTCTCAGGAGATTTAATATCCTATCACTTGCTTCCTATGCCCTTATCAAAACCTGCTTCTAGACAGATAAGAAACTTGTTTATGCTGACAAATTACACTGATAATTCCTGGAGTGTTTATCAGTGATATCGTATTTTATAGGACCCAAAAGTTTCTTGTCTTTCTTCTTTTTTTTTTTTTTTTTTTTGAGACAGAGTCTTGCTTTGTGGCTCAAGCTAAAGGGCAATGGTGTGATCTCAGCTCACTGAAACCTCCACCTCCTGGGTTCAAGTGAGTCTCCTGCCTCAGCCTCCAAGTAGCTGGGATTACAGGAGCCCTCCACCATGCCCGGCTATTTTTATATTTTTAGTAGAGACAGGGTTTCACCATGTTGGCCAGGCTGGTCTCAAACTTCTGACCTCAGTGGATCACCTGTCTCGGCCTCCCAAAGTGCTGGGATTACAGGTGTGAGCCACTACACCTGGCTGGGACCCAAAGCTTTCTAAACAGGAGAAAAAAAAATTATTGTGGCTATTTTAGCTAGCTTCTTGGGGGAAATGCAGTAGAAAGTACATTTTATTTGGAGGCTAAAGATGTAAATGCTTTGCTCTGTCTCCTCTCCACGTAGGGAGGCATGCTTGCCTGCCTCAAGTGAACAGCATGGACCTGACGGCTTCTAGGGCCTTCAGCACTCAGAGTATGAAGCTTCCTTGTTTGGAGGAGAGAGACCTTCCCAATGGCCCTGAAGTCATCCCCTTAGGGTGACACTACATTTTGCTGAAGCCTAAGGCCAGTTGAAGCTCATGAGTTGATTCAGAGAGACCAAATGTGCTAGGAAGCACTACCTAAGACACAAGACACAATGCTTACATTGATGAAAAAAAAGAAACTGCCCTGAGAAGGAAGAAAAGGTACAGGTGACAAACAGCCAGAGGAGGAGGGGGAGAGGAAGAAGAAAGGGAGGATAAGGAACATCACAGGGAGAAAGCAGCAGCAATGAGGAACTAGAAAGCCTCCATGAAGACCCATGAGAAAGGCAGGAGGAAGAGAACACAAAACATTTTGAGGGAACCCAGGCTGAAAGGGGAGGGAAACTGGGGAATAGAATCCACACCAATTTCCTACAGTCTGGTGGGAATGTAAAAGAGGAGTGGGTGCAAACCACAAACCATGAGATCATAGCTTTCCTGTGGGTGGAGAGCATGACACTGGTAGGCCACATAATAAGTTTGATTATTAAGAATAAAATGTTGCCCAGGCTGGTCTTGAACTGTGCCTGGCCTTGTAAATAACAATAATAATAAAAGAATTTTTTAAAGTATTGTTTTATATTACAGTGACCCATAGTTCAGTTCTGCCTAGGACTATCCTACTTTTGGCACTGAAATTCCCACATCCTTGGAAACCCCTCAGTCCCAGGCAAACCAGGACCACTGGTCACCCAAGTTGTTGGAAAAATTAAAATTTATGTATATAAGCTGGGGACAGTGGCTCATGCCTGTAATCCCAACACTTTGGGAGGCCAAGGCAGGAGGGTTGTTTGAAGCCAGAAGTTTGAGACCAGCCTGGGCAAAATAGCGAGACCCTGTTTCTACCCCCACCCCAAAAAAAAAGAAAAAAGAAAAAAAGAATATGTGTGTGCATGTATGCGTGTGTTTGTGTTTGTCTGGAGTAGTATCTGTCATATAATAAGCATCATTATAAGTGTTTGGTTCTATCTGAATCCCAATGAAAATGTTTTAAGGTTATAAACATGTTAATCTTAACCAATGGTATTTTTATTCAGTCTTGCACCGTTCATGTGACTGAACAGAGACTGAAGTGGTCTCATAAAGCCGCATTACCCATGATACTTAATCACAAGATCATGGGACATCCTTGTGCAATCTAGCACAGAACAACTGAAACTGCTCTGGTCAAAGGAAATGAGGTTTCATTAGCCATGGGGGAGACAGGGTGGCCAGGGAAACTACGACTGGGACTGTCTACAAGACTAGGCCAGGGGTGACAAGCATCCCACCCTCCGCAACATAAGATATTGCTAAGCCAGGATGCCACTTTAGTATCCTTCTTATCACACGCTCTAGGCAGCACTACCAACTGATCCCATTGTCATCCAAGGGGAGACCTATCATCCCTGGACAAGCTCTGCTGGCCCTAAGGTGTGGAGTTCTCTGAGGGTACAGATAGAGGGGAGAAGGCAGAGAAAGAAGCTTCCACTAGGACAGGGTTGCCCTCCGGGCGCTCAGTGCCTGTTATCAGAGCTTCCCCAGGCAACAGTCCCATAGAAGTCTCTGTGATGTATACCGTCAACACTTTCCAGAGTTTAAGGACCAAGAAGACCAAGCCATGTTAACCTGAGTGCCAGGATATGAGAGGGAGTGTAAGTGATGTGCAGGGAGACAGGGTAACTAACCATCCTCAGCAGTAAATGGCACCATCGATCTTACTTTTATCTCATGCTTTCCAGAGGAAAATCCTGTAAATGTTGTACTAAAAAAACAAAACAAAAAAAACAAACTAAAAAACAGCTTGGTAGCTGGTCTCAGTGACTCACGCTTGTAATCCCAGCACTGCAGGAGCCCAAGGTAGGGGAATTGCTTGAGCTCAGGAGTTTGAGACTAGCTTGGGCAACATGGTAAAACCCCATCTCTTAGAAAAATACAAAAATTAGCTGGGCATGGTGACGCGTGCCTGTAATCCCAGCTACTCAGGAGGCTGAGGCAGGAGAATTGCCTGAACCCAGGAGGCGGAGGTTGCGGTGAGCTGAGATCGCGCCATTGCACTCCAGCCTGGGTAACAAGAGCGAAACTCCGTCTCAAAAAAAAAAAAAAAAGGAAAAAAGAAAAATACAAAAATAAAAAAAAAAAAAAATACAAAATTAGCCAGCATTGTGGTGTGTGCCTATAATCCCAGCTACTTAGGGGACTAAAGCAGGAGACTTGCTTGAATCCATGAGGTTGAGGCTACAGTGAGCCAAGATTGCTCCACTGCACTCCAGCCTGGGTAACAGAGTGAGATCCTGTCTCAGAAACAAAAAACCCAGCTTGGTAAATAATATAATTTAGGAAAAGTACATAATTTAGAGAAATAAAATCTAGTTACACTAAAATTACTCTTTCAGTTTTTCTCAAACAATGCATAAATAATTCAGGCAAAACTTGGCTTGTTGTCTATATCCCCGACACCCCAAATATCCTTTACCCTTTTTTTCTCCTGTAGATATTGATGCCATGCAAATTCTTGAAGAGGAACTAATATAGGATCTTCAAATTTGGATGGATGATTATTCTTCAGATTCTGGGTTTCAAAATAGAATTATTTTATAGTTAGTTCTCTTTTAAAGTCAAAATCATGTCTCCCGATTTTTACAGGGTTTCCAGAAGTTTTATACAACACACACTAAGGCCATGCAGTCTGACTGGGATACTCCTTGTTCGTTCTCAGAGGCCCTTGTGTTTCCTTCCAAGTTGCTCCCTAGGCCAGGGAACTTATATGCATAAGTGTCTTGAAGCCAAGAACTGTCTTAGAGGCTGGCTGTGGTGGCTCACGCCTGTAATCCCAGCACTTTGGGAAGCTGAGGTAGGCAGATCACCTGAGGTCAGGAGTTCAAGACCAGCCTGGCCAACATGGCAAAAAACCTGTCTACTAAAAATACAAAAAATTAGTTAGGCATCGTAGGTGTCTGCCTGTAATACCAGACTGAGGCAAGAGAACCACTTGAACTCAGGAGGCAGAGGTTGCAGTGAGCTGAGATTATGCCACTGCACTCCAGCCTGTGCACAACAGAGTGGGACTATCTCAAAAAAAAAAAAAAAAAAAAAAAAAGAACTATGTCTTAGTCTTCTTCCTATGTTTTCACTTGCCACAACCTCTGGCACATAGTAGCCAATCTATACATAGCAACCGAATGAACAAAGGAATAAATAAATGGGTTAACGCCAATAGCTTTGTGATCTGCTGTCTTCTCTTAGGCCTAGTTTTTCCCTAAGTTAAACTCTTGGGGAACCTCAGTGGATCTATAGATACTTTACGTATAACTAAAATAAATAAATAAATAAATGTTCTTGCTTTAATTCACTGATGTATGGGAAATTACCAAAATGATACTGTTGTGGTTATACCTCTTACGAAAAAGTGAAGTAAACACAAAACCAGTTTAGGTTTAGCTACTGATTATGTTTTAGTTTGACATAGATTGTGTGTAGGAAACAGAGAAAATTCTTACTGGTTAGCACTCTAGGTTTGGTTCCTGATGCTAGTTATACTCTGTCTCCCTCTAAAGCAACAGAAGGCAGGTGAGGCATTAACAGGCCCCTTTTCTGAGTGGGTCTGGGAAGTGGATGGACCAACGGGAAAAGCACAGCTGTTGCAGGTGGCACCTTCCCTGCTGGGGATAGTGCTTGGAGGCCCTGTATGGTCCAAAAGAGGGTGCTGACCTGGCGTACGTCATCAGGGGTGAGTATTCCAAGGGGAGAAAACCAGGATGTGAGTGAGGCCCACTTTGGGAACCCTCAGGAAGAGGGCAATGACAATCAGGCCATTTCCTCCTGTCCTCAAGCAACAGGTGACATGTCCTGTTTCTCAGTTCCAGCGTCTTCTCAGTTTGAAGCAATACTATACTGCAGGTTGACTGCTATTTCTAACAATCTAGAACAAACTATAAATACAACAGTTTCCAAATGAAACACATCATATCTTTTTAATAATTTAGTATTTGTTATAGAACGGACTACATTCAAATTAAAATGTATACAATATTCTTACTCTCTACAAGTCTCAATCTTTTGTGTACATATTTATGGGATAGTGATGTCTCAATACATATAATATATACTTATCATTAGTATATCCATCATCTCAAACATTTATTATTTATTCGTAAGAGAACACTCAACACAAATCTAAATCTTTGTCAATTAATCAGGCAGGTGGGATTACTCATAAATGATCAGGTTAAGAATATATTCAGATATTCTTTATTAAGACAGAACTAGACGTTGGACATCGTGGCCCACGCCTATAATCCCAGCACTTCTGGAAGTTGAGACAGGAGGATTGCTTGAGTCCAGGAGTTCAAGACCAGCCTAGGCAACATAGTAAGACCCCCACTCTACCAAAAAAAAAAAAAAAAAAAAAAAAGAACTAGTTGAATTTTCATACTGGAATATAACTACAGTAGGTAAAAGTTTAAGAAAGAGAAAATTGACATTATTAAGATAATAAAGACATTGTTTTCTCAACCTAGTGTCTTCTACAGCAGGGGCTGGAATTTGTAAACAGTTTTAAAAAATCAAAATAATTGTATTTCATGTTATGTGAAAATTATATGCAAGTTAAATTTGGTGTCCATAATAAAGTTTTACTGTAATGCTGTCATTCATTTCCACGCCTGTGTCTGCTTTTGAAACACCGGACAAAGCTAAATAGGTGTGACTGAGACCCTATTGCCCAGAAGGCCTAATATATTTACTGCCTGGACTTTACAGAAAAAAACTTGCCAACATTTTCATTACAATGTGGAGTCGTCAAAGAAAATATGCGCCTTCAGAAAAAAAGGCAAAGAAGAACGAGAAAAAAAGTATCTGAAACTCATTAAATACATTAAGTTTGTAATTAACTTTACGGCCATTAACTTTGGTAAAAAAGGTTGCTGATCCCATCTGCCCAAGCAACACAGACCACAACTTCTACTTTCGATGATCCATGTATTATTTTCACAGACTTCTGATCACTTGTTTTATGATTTATTTATTTATTTTGAGACAGGAATGGTCTGTCTGGCTCTGTGACCCAGACTGGAGTACAGTGGCATGATCTCAGCTCACTGCAACCTGCGCCCACCGGGTTCAAGCCATTCTTATGGCTCAGACTCCCGAGCAGCTGGGATTATAAATGCCTGCCACCATGTCCGGCTTATTTTTTGCATTTTTAGTCAAGACGGCGTTTCAACACGTTGGCCAAGCTGGTCTCGAACTCAGCCTCTGCCTCCCAAAGTGCTGGGATTACAGGCGCGAGTCACCACGCCCAAAATGTCTTCTATTTGGGAACATTTTGTTGTCAAGTATCCAGCTGGGTATTTCGGGAGTTACAAACGTTAATTAAGGCATGGTCGTGGGGTCAAGTTGAGGTTTGGTGAGAAGCTTGGCAGGGGCAGCATCTCTGGCGCAAACCCTCTAAGAAGGGCTGAATTCTACATTCTGACATTTCATACATTTCTGCTGCATTTCAGGTTGTAAGTGTGCTGCAGCATGACTGATCTGGCCAAATTCTTCCAGTTTCCTCAAGTGCTTTTCCTTTAATACCGTCCTGAGTGTTTACAAAGAAACGGTTTTCCAAAGCACTTGTGAACTATTTATTAAGAAATCCGTGAAGCATCTAGTTCAATTGGAATGCAGTAAAGGCTCGAGAATTCAGATAATTCCTCCCCGAAGGAACAGTTTACAAAAATCGCTTGGGGAAGGAGGGGGACTGTAAACTCAGCTAGTTATACAGTAATCATTTTTCCAAAAATTTTATAATCTATAATTCAACAAAAAATTGACGTGGAATAAAATCAGTGGATATGTATGTGTGTGTGGGTGGGGATGACCTTATTTCCCAGCACGGTTCAGAACCCTTCCTTCGCTCGGTTTTCCCTTTAAAGGTCGCGAAGTCGAACGCCCGCCCCCAGACCCTAACTTGCCCCCTACACTCTCCTCCTGGTCCTCCAGACGGAGCCCGCCCAGCCCGGCCACGCCAGCCCATTCCTCCGCCCGTGAAGCCTCTACCCACGCCGCCTCGCGGAGGCGCTGTGCCCGCAGTCCTCGGGGCCGAGAGCCGGGAGCTGGCAGGGCCGCCCGCGACAGAGGTTTCTCTGCGGTTACCTCAGCAGCGCTCTTCGCAATCTGAAAGTTGGGGCAGCTGAAGAGCCCCACCACCTTCACCTGCAGCGGCCGCTCGGGTAGCGGGGGCGAGCCGCACCGGGCTCGCTGGGGCCGGCAGGGCTGCGGACTTCCCATGGTCGAGCGCGGGGACGCCCCAGGAGCACAAACACTGCGTCGTTCAGGCAACCGCGCGGCCCCGCCCCCGCCGCTCGCACGGGGCGGGACCCGGGGCGGCCGGGCCTTTCCTGAACTTTGCGCCTGCTGCTGAGCGGCCGGCGCGCGGGCTGCTGCGGCCGGGGACGAGCTCGGCGGAAAAGGAACCGGCAGCCGTCAGCCCGGGGGCGCTCTCGGGACACCCAGGGTCCTCGCGCGCGGCCCTCGCCGAGCCTGGGCGCCCGGATTTCAGCAGCGGATCGCCTTTCCGGGTTGGCGGCCGGCCGGATCGGGACGAGCAGGCCGGTTGCCTGGGGAACGCGGGGGCCTAAGCCGCGCAGGCTTGGTGCCCACGTGTGCGCGCCGCCGGCGAGGAAGGAACTGCCCGGGGAGGAGGAGCCGGCGGTCGTCGCCGGGGAGCTCGAGCCGCCTAGTACCCCTGCAGCGATCCCGCCATGAAGCCCAACTTCTCCCTGCGACTGCGGATCTTCAACCTCAACTGCTGGTGAGCGCGTCTGCGGAGTGCAGTCTGGGGGCCCCTTCGGCTCGCACCCATGCAGCCTTCCTCACCGCCCGTCCACCGCCCCATCCCACCCCACGATCTCAGGGTGTAAGGGGAACCCGAACCTCCGAAGTCCGCATCTGGCCCCAGCCCCCGTGGTCCCAGCAGTCACCTCCCCTGCCCCGCTCTGTCCTTCCTTAGGGGCATTCCCTACTTGAGCAAACACCGGGCCGACCGCATGAAGCGCCTGGGAGACTTTCTGAACAAGGAGAGCTTCGACCTGGCTCTACTGGAGGAGGTGAGGTTGTGCAGCACCGCACAGAACCCAGGCTGGGAGGAGGGCACCTGGGGGCAGACAGCCCCTCTGGGGAAAGGCCAAGCAGGCATCCTCACCCGTTTCCCTTAGGTGTGGAGTGAGCAGGACTTCCAGTACCTGAGACGGAAGCTGTCGCCTACCTACCCAGCTGCACACCACTTCCGCAGGTGAGAAGCCCACTGGCCTGAAGCCTGTTACCAGCCCAGGAGGCTGTTGGCTCTGCCAGCCTTTCCCTATCCTGCCTGCATCCTACACTCCTCCAGCCTCCTCTTCTCTGGATGTGAGAGAAGGGTGAACCAAGAAGGTCCTATGACTTAAGCCCGTTTCAGCTTTGTTATCTGGCTGCCCCATGCTCCTCCCAAGGTTGTTGCCTTTGTTCTAGGGCTAGTCCCAGCAGTAGAGAAAGAAAAAACTGCTGCTCAGAGCTGGAAGACAAGGGAAGGGAAGAGGGCTGGGTGCCTCTCCCTGTTTTTCTGGTTATTAAGCAGGGCTTGGCTTCCAGCGGAATCATTGGCAGTGGCCTCTGTGTCTTCTCCAAACACCCAATCCAGGAGCTCACCCAGCACGTCTACACTCTCAATGGCTACCCCTACATGGTAAGCCAGACCTCTGACCTCTTCCACCTCCCTTCCCCACCTCCAGTAATATAAGCTACAAGAGGCAGCCTTGGCCGGGCACGGTGGCTCAAGCCTGTAATCCCAGCACTTTGGGAGGCCGAGGCGGGTGGATCATGAGGTCAAGAGATCGAGACCATCCTGGTCAACATGGTGAAACCCCGTCTCTACTAAAAATACAAAAAATTAGCTGGGCATGGTGGTGCGTGCCTGTAATACCAGCTACTCAGGAGGCTGAGGCAGGAGAATTGCCTGAACCCAGGAGGCGGAGGTTGCGGTGAGCTGAGATCACGCCATTGCACTCCAGCCTGGGTAACAAGAGCAAAACGCCGTCTAAAAAAAAAAAAAAAAAAAAAAAAAAGAGGCAGCCTTCTGAGAGAGCTGCAGGGGATGGGGAGAAAGGGGGTGGCGATGCCCTAAGTTTCTACCTCCTCCTGCCTGCAGATCCATCACGGTGACTGGTTCAGTGGGAAGGCTGTGGGGCTGCTGGTGCTCCATCTAAGCGGCGTGGTGCTCAACGCCTATGTGACCCATGTGAGTGAAGCTGGAGCAGTGCCTAGGGCTGGGACATGCAGCTCCCTGCTGGGACATGCAGCCTCGTCCTGGGACACAGAGATGGTACTCCTCTAGCTCTAATGCCTGGGGGTGAGGTGTGGGAGCAAGATCTTATAAGGAAGCAATGGGCAAGTTGTATCCAATCTATATCAAACACTCTGCCGAGTGTCAGATACAGGCTTGATTCAGACATACTCCTGGGACCCTCACTCTTACTGCTGTGATCTCTTCTATCTTGCTCAGCTCCATGCCGAATACAATCGACGAAAGGACATCTACCTAGCACATCGTGTGGCCCAAGCTTGGGAACTGGCCCAGTTCATCCAGTGTGTGAGCCTGAGCTTGAAAGGGGAAGTGGGATGGGACCCAGGGGGCTCAGGGTGAACAAGGCCTCACTCACAGGGAAGAGCTGGTGAGGGAAGAACTGCCTCACCAGCCTGGTTCCCCCAGCCACACATCCAAGAAGGCAGACGTGGTTCTGTTGTGTGGAGACCTCAACATGCACCCTGAAGACCTGGGCTGCTGCCTGCTGAAGGAGTGGATAGGGCTTCGCGATGCCTACCTTGAGACTCAGGACTTCAAGGTGAGGATTTGCTTGTTATTTCCCCACCCGCATCTCCAGCTTCTCTCCCTCCTCCTTCCCCCACATCCTACCATGAGCCAACGATTCCCTTAGGGTTCTGAAGAAGGCAGCACAATGGTGCCCAAGAACTGCTACGTCAACCAGCAGGAGCTGAAGCCGTTTCCCTTTGGCATCCGTATTGACTACGTGCTTTACAAGGCCAGGCTCCTTCCCCAGCGTGCCTTCATCCGCTGTGTGTCTCTGTCTACCACCAGCCTATGTAGATCCTTTGCTCAGCTAGTCTAGTCTTGGACTACTGATGGTTGGAAAGTGGGGTAGCCAGGAGCCGGTTCTCTGGGAAGAGGCCCTCATATATAAGGTTCTCTCTCTGGCCCTTACTTTTCCTAGGCAGTTTCTGGGTTTTACATCTCCTGTAAGAGTCTTGAAACCACTACAGGCTACGACCCTCACAGTGGCACCCCCCTCTCTGATCATGAAGCCCTGATGGCTACTCTGTGTGTGAGGCAAAGCCCCCCACAGCAGAACCCCAGCTCTACTCACGGTGAGTCACCCCCACCCTTTCCCGTGGCCCTTTCCCCACTTGAAGCAACCCTTCCACTCTGACTCTCTCCTGTCCTACTGCCCTGCCCTGTTCTAGGACCAGCAGAGAGGTTGCCCTTGATGAGTGTGTTAAGGGAGGCGTGGACGGAGCTGGGTCTGGGCATGGCTCAGGCTCGCTGGTGGGCCGCCTTCGCCAGCTATGTGATTGGCCTGGGGCTGCTGCTTCTGGCATTGCTGTGTGTCCTGGCTGCTGGAGGAGAGGCCAGGGAAGCTGCCATACTGCTCTGGACCCCCAATGTAGGACTGCTGCTGTGGGCAGGTGCATTCTACCTTTTCCATGTGCAGGAGGCCAATGGCTTATACAGTGCCCAGGCTGAGCTCCAGCATGTTCTAGGAAGGGCAAGGGAGGCCCAGGATCTGGGCCCAGAGCCTCAGCCAGCCCTACTCCTGGGGCAGCAGGAGCGGAACAATAAAGAACAATAAAGCTTGGCACTTGGTGGCTCTGCCTTTTTCCTTGTAGAGGCAATGGTGGGAGCCAGGGGTCAGTGTGACTGTCACACTACAGACCTGAAGGCTCCTACACATCTGCTGTCCCCATATATGCCCCCACCTCCCACCTGCAGGCAGTGTTTGTGGCAGAACCATTTTAATGATAAACAGCAAGGCTCTCTGCCAGGCAGCCCAGATGAACAGGGGTGGCACTGTGTAGGGGTGAGGTGTTTTCTTTGTGGGAACGAAGGCAGACAGCCCACCCTCTTCTATCCCTGGGCCCCTGTCCCCAAGGCCAGCTCACTGAGCCTGCGATCCTCCTGGAGGCGGATGAGGGCATCTCTCTGGTTGATCACATCCACTAGTTTCCTCAGGACCTGATCCTCGGCCTGCCGATCAGCAGCTGTCTTTAGGGTTTCTGAAAGGAGGAGACAAAGCTTAAAGAAGACGGAACTGGGCAGGGACGCAGGAGAGCCACAACCTAATCCCAGCCTATGTGATTTCTTTTCTTTTCCTTTTTCTTTTTTTTTTTTTTTGAGATAGAGTCTCACTTGGTCGCCAGGCACCAGGCTGGAGTGCAGTGGCGTGATCTCAGCTCACTGCAACGCCCGCCTCCCTGGTTCAAGCAGTTCTCCTGCCTCAGCCTCCCAAGTAGCTGGGACTACAGATGCGTGCCACCACGCCCAGCTAATTTTTATATTTTAGTAGAGACGGGGTTTCACTATGTTGGCCAGGATGGTCTCGATCTCTTGACCTCATGATCCTCCCACCTCGGCTTCCCAAAGTGCTGGGATTACAGGTGTGAGCCACCGGGTCCGGCCTCTGTGATTTCTACAACCCGGGCTTTGTTTCCTAAGCAGCAAAATTAGGAGGGTTGCCAACACCAGTGCTTTTCTAGCACTACTGAGCAGCAGCAGTTTTTTGAAGGAGATCTTGTATAAAAGCCAACTGTGCAGCTCTGAATGAACTGAAGGGAGAAGGGGGCTTTGGCGTCCCCTCCTCTGGCTTCCTCATGAATTGTCTCAGGAGTACACAGACTAGAGGACCATGCTGCTTGGTCAGTATCTGAGATCACGAGGCTTGTGCAACAGAGCCCTGGGACGCGTCTGCCTCTCCCCACATCCCACCTACCTTCCCGGTTCATGTAGCCTCGTAGCTCCTGGTCCAGCTGCCACTGTTTCTCCTCCAGGTTCAACTCCTGTACCCTGTGGAGGTCAAGGATTGTAGAAGCAGAGCTCTCTAGGGTGCCCGAGGGGCTGGAGCCTGGCCCATGGGCCACTGTCACCATCCCCTTCCCCTTACGTGATCATGAGCTCGGCCTCCTCAGCCACCAGGCTGTTTTTCTTCTGAACGAGCTGTAGCAGCTGTCCTACCCATAGTACCTTTTGCTCTTCTGGGGAACCTAGTAAGAAGGAAGATGGGTGGGGTGGTCAGGAGGCTTCCAGCCAGCGCCACAGAAGTCATAGGCTCAGGGCTGACAGGAGATCGGGGTTGCAGGTGTGTGTTAGCTATGTGGTGCAGCCGTTGGGACTATGGGCTGGAGCCTGGCTCAGCACAGTGCCAGAAGACAGAGGGGTGTCCTAGCTTGTCACTTACTGCTCTGGCGCCTCAGGGCCAGCTCCAGCTTCACACCCTCGGCCTCTAGCTCCCTCAGGGCAGCCTCGATCTCATGTAGTCGCCGTTGGATGGCCTGAGGGGTACAAGACAGGATACCCAGGAGTCTCTGGATGGCTCCAGAACAGAGCGCCGAAGGAGCGCTGATCTCAGTCTCAGAACTCTGACCCCATCAGAACTTCGGGAGCCCCTGCACACCTGAGCCTTGCGGAATCTCTTCATCTGCTCCTCCTTCACGCGGCGCAGCAGAGTCCGACGCCACGTTGGGTAGTTATTCATGGTGCCTGAGGTCTTGGCCAGGGTCAGCAGGGCCTATGGGAGGGTCAGGCAGTCAGGGATAGGGCCTGAGCCCCCTGGCGGATAGGAGTGCTGTTTGGAAAGGCAGAAAAGAACCCGCACTGAAAGTGGGGGAAGCTCTGTAGAAAAGGTGGAGGCCTAGAGTGAGAAGACATTCCAAGCGAAGGTGCAGAGGACGGAGCGTGGTGCAGGTTTCTCCTGTGGTGGGCTGGAGAGCATTTCATGGATGCATGCTGGCCCACTCACCTCCACGTCTGAGTCCAAAGGCACATCTTCTTCTTCCACTTCCTCTTCACTGGAGGAGGGACACTCTTCCTCCTTCTCCATGGCCACAAGAACTGAGAAGAAGAAGAACTAAGAAGTTCGACTGCCTCCAGCACCTGTCCCAGTCAGGCAACAAAGGGCATGGTGGTGACGGAGGCCTGCGAGTCTGGTAAAGATCTGAATGTGTGTGGGGGGCATGGGAGGAACTGAGAAGAATGGAGCAGAGGAGAGGCTGCCATGGCCTGGGATCCCCACAACCTCCCTCTGTCTTCCCCAGAATTCCTCTGCAGGAAGCCAGTGCTCCCACCCCGTCCCACCCTGGGTCAGCACATCTGCGGGGATGGCAGTTACCTTGAGGGCTCTGGACTGGCAGGCCCCAACCCACAAAGCTGCTCTCCAGGGCCTGGCGGGCCAAGGCGGAGCAGGTGCGGGGGGGCTTGGGCGGAGGCTCCATTTCCGAGTCAGGGGTAATGTTAAGGGAGGCCAGCCGCTGGCGTTCCAGGCTGGAGAGGCGGATCCGCCGCCGGCTGGGCTGGCTGGGACCTGGAACAGGACCGGCCCCCTCCTGTGAGGCCGTGGGAGTTGAGAGGCCTGGGGGAATGCTAGTCTCGCTTGGTGTAGGGAGCTCCTGGAAAAACCACCATGTGGTGCGGTCAGTGACCTGCCAGGGTAGGGGGAGGACACCCCTTTGGAACAAACGTGAGCCTTGGCATTCATTCGCTTAACACCGTTTACACGCGCACACACACACACGTACACACACACACACACACACACACACACACGCCTTCGCAATTTTTACCGGGCTCTCAGGGCCTCCGTCATTGCCTTCCTCCTCGTGGTCTGGCTGGGGCAGGTGCTGGAGGCAGTAGAAATGTCCTGGAAGGAATGGAGAGGGGAGGAGGCATCTGGTGTGGGCAGCCCGGCGCCCAGACACGAAACAAGTTTACAAAGGAAGGTGGGGAAAACAAGACAGATTTGCAGGTGAATTTCTGCCAGCCTCCCGTTCTTAGAACCACACGTCTGGAGCTTTGGAGGGGACAGAGGAGACCCTGAGCTCAGGAGAAGAAAGTCCCATCTTGAGCCTGTTTTCACCCTGTGCCCCTCTACCTCAGACTCTTTGTCCCTCAGGCAGGGCCAGGCCCAGAGTCTCTCTGGAGGTCTCTCAGGCCCACTCACCATCTCCTGGGTGCTGCCCATAGCCACCTGGCCACAGTGTGGCTTCACAGGTATGGCAGCGGAAGCAGCTCCGATGGAAGAAATGGCCGTTGACATAGACACGTTCCAGGACGTAGAGGTGTTCCCCACAAAGTGCACACAGGTCCTCGGCACCGGCCTGCATGGACCCCTAGGACATGGGGTCAGGGGGAGCCAAGGCCAGCTGCAAAGTTCTTTCCTTCCCATGAAACACCCCTGCCCTGCCCTCCCCAGGCTTCCGCCTGCACACGAGGCCCTGGCTCTCACCTCGTGGTGTTGGGATGGAGGTGTCAGGGGTACACCAGGCTCTGGCTCAGGTGGCGCCTCAGTGCTTGGGGTCTCAGCCTCCATCTAAGGAGGTTAAGTACTCAGGCCGGGAGGGTAGAGGGGCAGGGCCAGCTGGGAGGGGATGCGTACAGATGAACAGGAGGGGCTGAAGGGAAGGGGAGTGAGACTAGGCAGGGAGGCTGGATCGGGGGGTTATAGGACCTGGGGTGGGGAGCAAGACATGGGGGGATGGGACGGAGGGAAGACAGAACCGGGAAAAGGGATAAAACCTCGGGGTAGGAGACCGACCCGCCCCTGCCTGAATTACCTCCAAGCGCAGCTTCTTGCCACCAGCATCCTCCACATTTTCCTGCAAGAAGTCCTAACAGCTCTGGGTGTGATGTTTTGAGCCCCCCTGTCCTCCCTACTTTCTGAATGTCCTCACCATCATCCCAGGATCTCCACCGGGTGCCCCTGCCCAGCTCCAACCCCGCCTAGACTCTCCACCTTGGCCCGGGATCGCTGCAGGGTCCTCTGAAGTTTGCCAAGGAATAATACAGCACTGGAGGTCCCTGGGGAGGCCTGGCTGACAGGGCCTGTGGGGAGAGCCAGGGCATCAGTGTGCATGGGGGTGCCAATGCTGTACCCTAGAACAGACAGCACTCTCCAACCCCGAAGGACACCTCTCCTAGGCTGGCCCTCGGAGGGCGCCTTCTCATTCTGCTACACACACTTCCCCTTCCCCCCCACCTCCCCATCCCCCACGTCCTGCCCGCCTTCCCTCCAGATTACTTGGCCTGTGGGGCGTGCTCTTGAAGGCACTGTGGAAGTGGCTGAGGTAGGCAATGAGACCCAGTGGGTCGCTCCCTGCCACCACAGCCTGTGCAGACACCACCGGCGTGATGCCCAGCTCATGCTCTGCCATCTTTAGCGCCCAAGCAGTTGCTTCCAGAGCCTCCAGCTCCTGCAGCTCTGAGGGTTCCCTATGGGGTGTCAGGGAAAAAAGCCAACTAGAGACAAAAACCTAGCCCCACTGAGGGGAGGAGGGCCGGCAGGAGGGGAGGGCCAGTGAGCAGCGGCTGGGGTACAAGAAGGCGGGAAGGTAGGTGTGTAGTCTCTGCTACCCGGTGCCCAACCCAGTGATGTTGCTTCTGACTTTGAGAGCCTGTGCCATTCACAAAGCTCTCCCCTATCTGAATGCATTAGAGTCTCACAAGACTGTCGGCAGGTGTAGGGAAGAATACTGTCTCTAGGACTCAACAGGATGTGCTAACTCCTACACGGAGATGATAAGAGTGGGTCTGCCACGGACTCACAGCAGGCCAGGCTGCAGCCGGTGCACCAGGGCACACAGAGCCAGCCCATCAGCCCAGGAAGAAGACAAATCGGTGACGTGGACTCCTGGGTACCCAGCTGTCTGCTCCTGGCACCAGCGTAGCAGCTCCTCCTGGGTGCCTGCTGACCCTAGGAGAGAAGGCTGTGCTGTGCCCAAGGCCCCTCTGCCCCATCCCTGGCACACAGGGAGCCCAGCTGCCGGGTATGGGGGTTGTGTAGGAAAGGAATCAGGGACCACCTTTCCTGGGGCACTAGCCTAAAGCTCACTGTCAGCAGCCCTCCTTCATCCCAGTTGTTTCTGTTCTTTTTTATAATCTCTTTTTGGAATGAAGTAGAGGAGTGAATAAAGTGAAATCGCAGCTGGCCACATAGCGGGCTGAAGACTGTAAACTAGGGGAGGGGAGGTTGCCAGCAGTGCTGCAGCTGTAGCGGAGGTTAAAACACTGAAGCGCTTCCGCTCAGACTGGCAGTCAGCTGCTGCCTACACACTGCTGCCTCTCTGTTCCTCCAGCAGGCCCCCGGCCAACCCCCCAGCCAACAATGAGTGCTCCGGCACACTGCTCCTGTCCTGAGGCTGCAGCTGCTCTGCGGGTCCGCCTGGACCTCAATGGGTGGTACATATTTTGGTCACCCCAGGAGGAAGGCCTGCTCACCGGTGGTTGGCATCCCCGCATCTGTCTTGTCGCTGTTCCTCTGCACAGGCTCTTTGGCTAGCACGTCGTATAGGTCTCGCACCTAAGGCAGCCCAGCTCAGGTGTCGAGGCAGGCTGGCCACCCAGCCCCTCGGTCTAGGGGTAAGGGCCTGCAGGGGGTAGGACTGACCCCAAAGGGCGGTGACTGGGCAGGGAGGGCCTGACCTGGGGGAAGGGGGTTGGCTTGGGAAGCCTGGTGGGGATGCCGGGGGTCTGACCTGATTGGGGGTCACTGCCCGGAGGTTCAGGTTGGGGTAGCGGGTGGCTGGGTCCAGCCCATACTGGGCCACATTACGATGCATGTTTTCTGGGGATGTCTGTGACAGAAGCTGGTACAGGCTCTCACTGAGGGAGTGAGGGTAAGGGGCAGGGGCATGAATGGGAGGGCACCTTTCAGCACCCACCCCTCAGGAACTGCCAGGCCTTTTCTTCTCTTCTGCCTATGCCTCCATCTATTCACCCAGCACCCCTGCCCCTCTTTCTGAGCCTTGTCACATGTGCTGCCCTGCTCACACCCCGTCAACTCAGGTCTCACCGCTCAGCCAACACCTCTAGGCACTCAGCACCCTCTGCCCACCGCTTCACCATCCAGGCTGCATCAAAGGCTGCCAGGAAGCCTCGTGCCACTCCAGTGCCCAGGGGCCAGAAGGGCTGCAGGGAACAGGAAGCAGCTCAGGGAGAATCCAACAGGAGCATACCAAGCCCAGATACCCACCAAGGTCACAGCAGAAGGGGCTGTCCCCACACCAGGCGGCCCTTAGCTCCTCCCCTCCACAGGCAAACCTTTTTTATCCCCTCCCTGCTACTGGGCAGCTCCCTCCCCTAACCATGAAACCCCTGTGTCTCCTGAATCCCTCACCTCCACCAGGCAGTCCCCCACCAGTCCCAGCAACAGGCGGGCGCCATGCTTCTCTTGCACGCGAGCAGAACTCTCTGCCCGCATCATGCTTGTGAAGTCAAAGGCAGAGACATCAGGCTGCCCATGGGCGTCCTGGGCAAACTCTAGTTCCCCGAGCTTGCCATGGGTGGCAAAGTCAGCAGCTGCCCTGGCAAAGCGCTGCAGAGCCTCAGGCACGACATTGGCATTGCCCAGCAGCCGATCAGTTTCTGGCCAGTCCTGAATGGTCAACAGAGCAGAACCGCAGAGACCTTTGAGGGGAGGGTCAGTGGGCCAGTGCCGCCCTTTTGAGTGCAGAAGGTGCACATACTGGGCCCAGAGAAGAAGGGGCTGCCCTAGACAACACAGAGTCGAAGGCTGAGCTGGGACTAGAATTCCAGCAGCCTGGACTTCTCACAGTCCTTTTCTCAGCACTCACCCTCCTGCCGGTGTCCCAGGCTCTGCTCTGCCCACATCATTATTGTCATATACTTGCCATGAATGCAAGAGCTTTGGTTTGTCTATCACTCAGAGACAACACGCCTAATTTATCAGGTTATTCATGAGAATGAGATGAGAGAATGCAAATTTAACCCTCAACACAGTACCTAGCACATGGTAGCCACTCAACTAGTTCATTCATTCAGCAGATACATACTGAGTGCTTACTATATATCCGGCACCATTCCAGGTATTGGGAGTTAGCAGCAAGAAACAGACAAAGAGACAAAAATGCCTGCCCTCACGGAGCTGACATGTTGTGGCTGGTATAAGGTATTTAGCCCAGAATATGATTCCTGTTGCCTTGTAAATCCCAGGGGAGATCTTTTGTGTGTGTGGTTTGTTTTGTTTTGTTTTGTTTTGTTTGTTTTGAGACAGAGTTCCACTCTGTTACCCAGGATGGAGTGCAATGGAATGATCTTTGCTCACTGCAAACTCCGCCTCCCAGGTTCAAGCAATTCTCCTGCCTCAGCCTCCCAAGTATCTGGTATTACAGGTGCCCACCACCAAAACTGGCTAATTTTTGTATTTTTAGTAGAGACGGGGTTTCACCTTTTCAGGCTGGTCTTGAACTCCTGACCTCAGGTGATCCACCCGCCTTGGCCTCCCAAAATGTTGGGATTACAGGCTTGAGCCACCATGCCTTGGAGAAGAACTTTTAGAGATGGACTTAATGCCAGGACAAAGGCAGGAAAGGACAGGGTCCCCACACCCAGGTGTCAACTGTGTCCAAGACTAGCCTCTGCCTCCCGGGGCTCACCACCCAGCCATTCCTGGCCAGGACTGGGCCTCACCTGGCGCAGTACCCCCAGCCGCAGCAGGCACTGCTTCTTGGCTGTCATCACAAAGTAGTGGGTATCATCTTTGTAGTACACAATGTTCTCCAGATCAATGCCTGGGGGTACAGGGCAGGGAACGGGAGATAGGTCTCCTGATTATGCATGGCCTGACCCTCTGAGCTGAGATCCCAGCTTAGACAGCAGTGAGTGCTCCACACATAGAGCCCCTCGAGTCTTGATGACACAAAGGACCATCTGTCCCAGACCCGGGAGGCCTGAGGACTTAGAGCAAAGAGGGAAGCTTGTTGGGGTGGGGGACATTTGGGAGACCTGCACCGCCTGGTCACATGGCAGTGCAAAGCCAAAGTAAACACAGGCATCTTCTTGAAGTACCACTTTTGTCTTCAATTTGTATCATTTTTATATTTAATCATAAAGGAGCATAAAGCAAAACTCCCACACACAGGTTAATCTGTGAGAGATTCCAGGACTTTTCATGCTGGGTGGTCAACTAGGGCTGTGCCTGCTTAATCACTGAGGGGACAGGTTCCTTCTCCTTTGCGGCTGAGACAACGGAACAGAAAAGTATAGGATTCCTTGCACTGAGGACAGGTTTGGAAGGGAGAGGCAGGAGCCAGGCCACAGTCAGGCAGGAGGAGGGGAAATTCAGCAAGAGGGTCCCTGACCTGTGGCTTTGAGCAGACTCTGGAAGAAGCTCTGGTTGTAGATCCTGGCTACACCGCTGATCTCTGGCACCTGTGTCTCCTCCACGGTGCGTCCGTTCACAAAGTTGACTGTGATGCCAATGGCCAGTTTACCTCGCATTTCTCTAACCTTGAAGCCTAGAGGTAGTGATAGGGGAACAATGACAGAAGGGGGGTTTATAACAGCCTAGAAAGGCCCAGGAGGTGCCCAAGATGCTGGCTTCTTGGAGGGAAGTGATCACTCACCTTCAGGGACAAATTTACCTCCAGCAGCTGAGATAAGGACGTCAAATTCATAGTTGGCCAGCTGGGCAGGGGGGTTGGGTTGGAGCTGGGCACGCCAGCCACTCCCTGGGGCAGGGGGTATGAGAGGCACAAAAGTGTAGAAGTCGTAAAAGCCCCTATATTCTCAGAACAAGCCAGTGAAATCATCAAAACAAATGTGCAAAGGACTGTCTGGTTTAGAAAGCAATGATATATTATCTATCAGAGCACACCTTCACAGCAGGTAAGGAAAGAATTGTTATTCCTGTTTTGCAGACACTCAACCTGAGGCTCAGAGGCTCACACCGGTAATCTCAGCACTTTGGGAGAGACCGAGGTGGGCAGATCACTTGAGGTCAGGAGTTTGAGACCAGCCTGGCCAACATGGCGAAACCCCATCTCTACTAAAACATATAAAAATTAGCTGGGCGTGGTTGTCCATGCCTGTAATCCCAGCTACTTGGGAGGCTGAGGCAGGAGAATCACTTGAAACTGGGTGGCAGAGTTGAAGTGAGCTGAGATCCTGCCACTGCACTCCAGTGTGGGCGACAGAGTAAGACTCTGTCTCAAAAAAAAAGAGTCTCCTGGCCACCCTTTTTCAGATGGGCCAAGTTCTTGATGGGTGGGGAGGGGAGATTCCAGGGAGCACAGAAATACTTACCCTTTCTAGGAGGGGGCTGGAGACCAGTGAAAGTGACACCCCAGTGAATTTCCACCCCCAGCAGCAATGCCACCTTCAGCAGAAGCAGCTGGAGCTGCCGGATGCCTGGAAAGGAGAGGACATTAGGAACAGGGACCCCACGGCAGCACCACCTCCCCATGTACCAGTGTGTGCCTGGTCAGACTGGAAAAGGTCTTAGAGATCAGTCTGCCCAAAAGCCCACTTTACAGATGGGGGACATGAGTCTTCTAGGTCACCTGGCTGATATGGATCTTGTCCACTTCGACTCTTGGCTGGCTCAGCAGCTCCCTACTGGCCTGCCTCTAGGCCCAGGCTCACCTGCCCGTCCAGGCCACCTGGTGGTACTCACTGATGTGGTCCAGGGTGCCGGTGCAGAAGCGCCCATAGAACTTCTTAGCACCAAGTGCCCGCAGGTCATGGATGGTGAAGGGCCAGAGGTGAAGCACGTTGTGGCGTGAGAACTTGGTGCGCTTTTCCACCAGCACAACGCGAGCCCCCAGCAGTGCCAGCTCTACAGCGGCCCGTAGTCCGCAAGGTCCGGCACCCACCACCAGGCACTGTGAACACACAGGGCAGTGAGAGCATGGCATCCTGTCCCTCCTCTGGCTCCCCCCATTCTCCATACCCCATCCCAGGCACTGCGTATCCACCTTGGTGTTGGTGCAGGCCCGGCCCTGCTGGTAGACAAGCTGGCTGGCTCGCTTGTCCAGCTTGGTCCACAGTGACTTGGCGCTCCAGTAGTTGAGCTGGTCCTTGATTTTGTGGTACTGGGGCAGCCCCCCACCAGGCTCCAGCCCCAGGGCCCCACATAGCTCCTGGAAGCTGCTCAGCACATCCTGGCACAGTTGGGCCTGCAGGAAACTCTCAAAGTGGGCATGCGCTGGGTTGGTGGACGTGGGTGAAGCCATGGAGGCCTCTCTGGGGCTCCTGGGGAGGGCAGCAGCTGGGCATAGGCGAGCGGCTGGAGAGGTGGAAAAAGAAGAGGAAGAGGCTGGAGAACAGAAGAAATAAAACGGAAGGGGAGGCGAAGAGACCAGGCTGGTATCCCCAGGGAGCTCGAGATTCACCCGTGATCGGCTCTGCTCCTCCCTCCCAGCCCACTCCCCTGCCAGCATCTATCTGCTCCAGAGATAGCTGCTGTTCTGTTCACTCCAAGTGAAATGTGCCAAATTTGGAAGTGAAAAACACTAGTCTTGGGCACAGAGGGCACACGGGACACGAGGGGAGCCTCCAGCTCAGCCTCCCTGTCCAGGGATCTCCCAGCCGTGGGGGTAGGAATTCTTAGCCCGCCTTCTTTAGGCCTTGGAATCAGGGTGTGGGGGGATTTCTTAGATGTGGAGAGGGCAGACCCGCCTTTGCATGCAACGCAGGGACAGATCTCATACCCACAACCCCAGCTGCTGCGCATATATCCTGTCCCTCCCCCAATGCGTCCTGCGCTGGGTGCCCCTCGATGGTCACGGTACCACGCTGGGTATGGGAAGAGTCTCCTGGCAAGGGCAAAGTTTTTCTCAGCACTCGTACTTGCCTCCTGACAGAGAAACAGCCTCCGTCCGCGTGGGTTCCACTTCCCACTGTCAAACTACCGCAACAAGCAGCAGCAAGATGTTGCAACTGACTGGGCAACTGAGACGTGGGTCTATTTCTGACGCACTGTGGTCAAAACACTTCCCCTGCGAACTTGCCCTGCTCCAGGGGGCCGCGGGGAGGGCTGGGGGGGTCTACCGCAGCCGGGTTCGCTCCGCCCAGGTTCCCCCCTCCCCGATGGACCCCATCCCGCCCCGCCCCTTGTGCGCCCGGGAGCACTCTCCTAGGAATCTCCGGAGACAAGGTCTCGCTTTGTCACCCCTTCCCACGCTAGTTGAGGAGTGCCCGAGGGGTTTCTTACGCGGGGCCCGTAAAGGATCAGAGGGTATGGAGGAGGCGGGTGTCCACGGCAGTGTTAGGGAGGGTGAGTGGCAGCAGTAGGGGCAGGTCCCTGGGGCTCAGCTCCCTCCGCCCTCCTGCTGCCCCTCGGTTCCCAGCCTGCCTTGCCGAGACGGGAGATAAAAGCCTCCCGCCTCGGGTTGCCCAGACGAAGGCAGACGGAATCCTAAGACGGAAGGGCAAAGCTCTTTCTAGGGTGAAGGGTGGAGGAGGAAGACCTTGGCAAAGGGGGAGAAAGAGGCGACCCGTCCTGGAAACGCCAGGACAAAGGCTGTACGAGAGGGGTGGGGCGGTCTGAAAGGATGAAGAGGGAGCTGGACCGCGGGCAGCAACAGTGGGGGTCTCCGACACTCCAGACGGCAAAGTCCGGAGGCCCGCTGAGCAGGGTTGGGCTTGGGGAAGACCTGCCGGACTTGCCAGGCGTGGTTCCCGAGCGCCTGCAGCCGCATTTCCCCGGAAGCGCTCCACCTCACCCCACCCGGCCGCAGGGCGCACAGCCGGCTCCGCTGGACAACTTACCCGCTGCTCCGGGGCCGGAAGGGGGCCGCTTCCTGCCGGGCTGGTAACCCAGTTGAGGCTGGTGGAAGGGCGGGATGGGGGCGGAAGCGCCGAGATCGGTCGGGGATGCGGGGCGGCGCACGGCGTGCGCCTTGAGTCCCGCGGAGTGTGGGCTTCTACGAGGGGCGCAGGGCGCCGCCGGGGCCTAATTCAAACCTCATTAGCATCTCATTACTTCTGGATCCCCACCCCCCCGCGCGCCGCCTCCAGCGGGGACAGTCCAGGGCCCGCCCACGCCTGCAGGGTGGCGCCCAAGGGCGTGGCGCTGCAGATACCCCGTTCGGCTCTGGGGGTCTGACCTGATGGGGCCCGAGGAGCTCCAGGGTCGGGTAGCCAGATGCTGCGCGGCCTGGGCTCCTTCGGGGCACCCGCGCGTGCAAGGCTAGCTCTTCCCCAGCTGCAAGGCGAGGACCACCCGCGCCGGCGCGGTCCCAGGACTGCTGGCTGCCTCCCACTGCCGGGCGGAGAGGGCGCTCAGGCTCCTCCAGAAGTTTGGAAAAGCTGGCGGGTCCGACAGTGGCGCCGGATGGTCTGCGTTCTCCTCCCGTCTCCCACCTCGAGATCCACGGCCCGGACGCCACGGGATGGATCCAAGCGCGGAGGGCGCCTCCCTTGAGATAGGTCGTCCGCTAAGCCGGTGCCGAGGGCGAAGGGCGCGGATTAAAGTCCTGGAAATTCAGCAATCTGCAGCTTCCAAACAGATATGAGAAGTGAGAGGGAAGGGGATGGCGGGGAGGGTTAGACCACCACTAAGAGATGGGGAATGGGAGGGGTGTGGGGAAGAATGACGAAGTCCTCAATGTTCAAGAGTGCCTTAGAGTGAGGACCCACGGGACTGTCTGCTGAAGAGGGCTGGAGAGGGCTTTGGGATCAGCTTCCTTGTATTCTCGATAAGGAAACAGCACCTAAAGTGAAGGGGCTCGTCCAGTCATTCAGCTAGTTAATATTAACAAAACGTCGAGTCTCACTTATTGAAGTTACCCTATGAGTATTACCTCAACATCAGTGCTTGCAACAGTCCCATTTTACCAAAAAGGAAACTGAGTCACAAACGCTCTGTGACCTGCACGCAGCAAATGGCAGAGCTGTTTGGGGGCCCAGGTCTGTCTGTGCTCCACCCCAACCAGGACTGATCCAAAATGACGCATGAAAGGCTGACATTTTAAGAATCTGTTTCTTGTTTAGAGGAAGTGACACTGTTACACTGGAAACACTAATAAAACCCAGGAATAAATAGAGGGTTGCTGTCCTTGAGATCCAGAGACCATAAACAGCTGGGCAGCAACAGGGCTCTCTCCCTTTATTCTTACTTTGCATTTCATCTGGAAAATCTCTGAGACGCAGTAAGACTTAACACTCTTCTCAGCTCGAGTTGAGAAGCAGGCGGGGGAGGAAAGGAAGGGGAAATGCCTGTTCTCTGCCAGAAGCGAAGGAATTCAGTCAGGTCACGCTCAGAAAACTAGGGCAGCCTCCCAGCTGGGCCCATCCTAGCTCTTGAGTGTGACACATCATTTGGCTTGAAATGAATTTGCCAAATATCAGACACACCCGTATTTAAATAGTGTAAAAACGTTCTAAAGTCCACTGCAGCTGGGTTACTAGGCCTCTAAAATCATCTCATTTCCCTTTCACTAGCAGATGGCTCACAACTAGCCGCTCCACTTACTGCCTTTGCAAAGGCTCACTGGAGTCTGGCTTGACTCAATGACTTCAGCCAAACTGGGTCATGTGGCTATCTGAATGACATAAAATTTGTCTTTAAAAAAGATCACAGAACAATAATGAGTTCATCAGTGCTAAAAACTGCTGACTTGGAGTTTCAATTTATGCTAATTAAACACTTACATGGAGGTATAAAGCAGGAGAGAATATGCTGTTCTGGAATCCAGAAGGTCTGGTTGGATTCCAGCTTTGCTTCACGCTAGCCTAATGTGACCCTGGATGTCACCAACCACCACACTTCTGTCTGCTCATCTCTAAACAGAGGCAGTTTAATTACTCAGCCTCCTCAGCCCATTTCCACTCCAAAATTCTATCATTCAATATTGGCCTAAGAAATGAACAGACTAGAAGACCCAAACCAAGTTTACTCAGAATTTCTTCCAAGAGAAAAAAAAAATCTCTTTATTAAAGCTATTTATTGTTTAACTACAAGTGTTTCTCTCCTTAATTAGAATCTTGAGTCATGATTCAAATTACGTGTATATAGAACTAAAAATACTGGCATAATCACATTGGCCAATTCATATTGGATCAAACAAGTGGGTGATACATGAAGTCAGTTTTTTTTTTTTTGTTTTTTTTTTTTTTTTTGAGACGGAGTTTCACTCTTGTTACCCAGGCTGGAGTGCAATGGCGCGATCTCGGCTCACCGCAACCTCCGCCTCCTGGGTTCAGGCAATTCTCCTGCCTCAGCCTCCTGAGTAGCTGGGATTACAGGCACGTGCCACCACGCCCAGCTAATTTTTTGTATTTTTAGTAGAGACGGGGTTTCACCATGTTAACCAGGATGGTCTCGATCTCTCGACCTCGTGATCCACCCGTCTCGGCCTCCCAAAGTGCTGGAATTACAGGCTTGAGCCACCGCGCGCTGCCAATGAAGTCAGTTTTAAGAGTTCCATTCTAATGCTTTCGCAAATGGTAAAAACCTAGCAGTAGCCTAGGTTAAAAACTTGAGCCATTAAGACAGGATTCTCTTTCCCCTGCCCCATACCGTGTTCTGTCACCTCCCAATTTCTCATCTCATGGGCCTGGGGCCAGAAACTGGGTCCCTAGTACTGCAGGTGACATATTTAAGCCACCCTATAATATGGCTTTGCACCTGCAGTTCAGTATCTTCAAGCAATAAACCCATGGTCCTGGGCCAGGAAGCTGTGGCTGCAGTATAGCCAGAGACAGCCCCTGATGTAAAACCAGTGGCATCTGAGCTAAAAGTGTAGAGAGTCACGTGAGGACGTGACAGGGTGGTTTGATTGAGGTTAGAGGACTGAAGAGGGTAGTCCTGAATTCTGACAAATGAGTAGTCATGACTCAGAGTGGGGGCAGACAACTTTCAAAGCTGAGAAACCACCTGCCACAAAGCCCTCAGGCAGGAAAGAGCTGGATACAGCTTGGGGAACAGCAAGGAACCCATGTGCCTGGAAACCACAATAGGGAAGAGGGTCCCAAGAGGAAGCTGAATTGGAGATTTTACTCTAAATGCCATGGGAAACTGTAGAAGGATTTCAAGCAGAGCAGAGACATGGTGATATTTATCTTAGTAACTAATGCAAATCTATTCATTTAGCAAGGCACTCTGTTTGAGGCTAAGCTAAGTAAGGGTACAATGGTGAGCCCAAACAGATCACCACTTTCAGTGGAGAGAGCCCAGCAGGAGGTGGAAGAAAGGATTAATCAGGTCTTTGGCAGGAGTCCAGGCAAGTGGCATGGTGTACAGTGAGGATGGGAGAAGTGGATGGATTCAAAAGATACTTCAACGTGAAACTGACATAACATGGCCATGAATTGGGTGTGGGGGTGAGGTGGGCCCCATCAAGAATGAAGCCCAGCTTTCTCTCTTGGCTTGGAGTGGGTAAATCACAAATTTGGGGTCCTCATTCTTTCTTATTCTTTCTTCCAACCTTATTCCTTTGTATGCTGCTTTTTACCCCAGAAGTCAAAGCACAATTATGATTTCCAAGACTCGAAGATAACGCAGGGACTCTATCCTGTGAGGCTTCAAAGAGTAAACACACAAATAGGTTCAGGATCAGTTAAATAGTTAACTAAAATCATATTTTGGAAAATCATCTTCAAATTCATATTTAAAGTGACATACTATGGATATTAGGAATTCAGAATAAAAGTTCTCTACCCTGACCCCTGCCCAAATTTTTTCTTTTTCACACTTCATACTCAATATAGTACCACTTTTCAGACTCACATAAAAAACTTTATGTGAGTTTTTTATGTGAGTCTGTTACCAAAACGTGTTTAAATTCCTACGTTTTGTATTACTGAGCATGTGGGCTTATATCCTACTCCCAGCACTCTGAGGGCTGAGGTAGGAGGATCACTTGAGCTCAGGAGTTTGAGACCAGTCTGGGCAATGTAGTGAGATCTCATCTCTAAAAGTAATTTAAAAATTAGCTGAGCATGGTGGTGAATGCCTGTGGTCCCAGGTACTCAGGAGGCTAAGAGCTGCAGTGAGCCATGATCTTGCCACTGCACTTGACCCTGTGACAGAGCAAGACCCTATGTCCAAAAAAAAAAAAAAAAAAAAAAAAAAAAAAGTACTGTATTTGAATGAGCTTTAGTGTAAAAGCTGTTGATGTCCTACGTTTCAAGTTAGAATGAAACACACACACACACACACACACACACACACACACTCTCTCTCTCTCTTTCTCTCTCACACTCTCACTCACTGCAGTCAACTAAGTCAACTAAAGTCTTTTGCTGTTTAATTATTTGTAAAGAATTTGAGAACAGGACAAACTATCACGACATTCCAGCTTCTTTTAGATATCACTCCTCGAGAGCTGCTACTTACAAAACGAAGGCAAGATTTTTTACAGATCATACCTCTTTATCTGCTATTTAAAAAAGCAAGACAAAGGGTTTTCTTTCGATTCTTAAGAATTTAGGCGTAAGTTTAGAAACTGAAGATGAAATTTTACCTTAACACTTAACAGGATAACAAAACAAACCTACCCTTAATTTAAAATATCCTCAAAAATTTGCAAAAAGGGCTCACTTACAGAGGCTCCTGTTAAATAAGACATTTGCACCTTATTAATAACTTTCATCCAATTGACAAATTTTGATTAAGCTTTAAATCAATAGTAATGAAACACTAATATGATTGTATGACAGTTACTGAATTTCTGTAGATCATAGCTTTCACTATTATTGTTTTATGTAAAACGCTTATAACTATATGCTGCTGGCACATGCTTGTAATCCCAGCACTTTGGGAGGTTGAGGTGGGAGGACTGCTTGAGGACAGAAGTTTGAGACCAGCCTGGGCAACAAAGTTAAGACTCTGTCTCCACTTAAAAAAAAAAAGTATGCTATAATTTCAGACACAGACACTCAATTTTAGTCAAAAAGCTTCTATTACATTAAGCAGGACACAGGAAATAAGAAATTATTAATAAATAATTTTTTTTTGAGACAGTCTTGCTTTGTCATGAGGCACCAGGTTGGAGTGCAGTGGCGCGATCTCGGCTCACTACAACCTCCACCTCCCTGGTTCAAGCAGTTCTCCTGCCTCAGCCTCCAGAGTAGGTGGGACTACAGGCTTGTGCCACCAATGCCCAGCTAATTTTTGTATTTTTTTAGTAGAGATGGGGTTTCACCATGTTGGCCAGGATGGTCTCGATCTCCTGACCTTGTGATCCACCCACCTTGGCCTCCCAAAGTGCTGGGATTACAGAAGTGAGCCACCGTGCCTGGCCTAAATAATTTTTAATAAGAAATAAATTATTTAATAAGTAGGAAGTAAATTACTTATTTAATAAGAAAATTATCATTTTCTTTTGGTTCTATTAACCTTAGTAATAAGAAATCCAGCTTAAAGTTTTGAAAGTCTGTATTCTAGTTCTGGTTCTACCACTTAATAATGTATGACATTTGGCAACAGACTTTCTCTTTGGACTCCATGTTCTCATCTGTACAACAGGCATACTAATTACTTACCTCATCAGAATGTCATGCAGATTGAGAAATGCTTCCATTGGGTTAAGGTGCGTCCCAGACACTGCTCCCCTCCTGACTCCAGATGCCAGTTGTTAGGAGGTAAATTATTATATCTCCTACTCCAAATTTACCTGTTGATGTCCTAGTACCCAGCACCTCAGAATAAGATTGTGTTTGAAGAGTTGATTAAATGAGGTCATTAGTGTGAGCTGATCCCATATGACTGGTGTTCTTAAAAGAGATTAGGGCAGAGGGAAGATGTGAAGATACAAGCAGGGAAAGATGACTAGAAGGCAGGCCTCAGAAGAAATCAACCCCACGACACCTTGATCATGGACTTACTATTTTTTCAGTCACCCAGTCTGTTGGTATTTGTTATGGTAGTCCTGGCAAACTAATATACCAATCATGACCAGAGGTGACTGGAATCCTCCAACCAGAGGGTGCTGTGTAAATCTGTGTGCCGACACGGAAGTTCTGTGAGACCCAGTAAGATATGAGACATACTTAACACATCTGGCTTGGCTCCTGGCCAATAATGAGGACTCCACATGTGGAAGACATTATGTTCCCATTTATGAAAACCTAGAGAAGCATCTATGAGAATCCTAGGTAAGCAATTATGAGAATCTCTTTTCATTTCTCAGCATCATTTAATCTGTTGGCTCACAACACTTATAACATAAGAACCAACTGCAGAAAATACAGAGTAGAGGTGAGTTTCAAGCAGCACTGGGCAAGCACTTGAATAACTGATTTTGAAAGTAAGAGCTCTTCATTCCAAGGCTGGCCCTCTACTGGGAGAAAACCAAACATTCACCTTCAAAATGAGGTGTTTTAGGAGCCCCAAAGCATAACATTCTATTTCCTAAGAAACACACTTTGTATTTCTGGTTAAAACAATTTAAAAAATCGTACACATTTAGTGCAAAATGAACTGTGAAACACTGCGCTGGCAATGTAATTTCTCAAGGACACATAAGCCCTTTCACGTTCATGACATTTCTTTTGGGTACCCAAATCACAGAACTTTTTTATTCAAGGGGCAGAATGTATATTTTGGACAAAGAAAGAGGCTAGATTGACAAAGCTACCATTTTCTTGTTTCTCTTTGACAACTGGTCAAATAATTCAGGCACCGGTAGGACTGATGCTCGAGCCAGAAACAGGTGGCTCATGCTGTCTGTTTCACAATGTAGCAGTCATCAGCCACAGGTGCCTATTGAGTATTTGCACAGTGTCCCAAGAACTGGATTTTAATTTTAATTAACTTTACTATACATTTGTAAACCGATATTTCAATTCTTGAAAAAATCTTTTATCTGTAACTACTTGGTGTGAAAATGTTTTCAACTGTAAATTGTATGAAATCTAAATACAGAACAAGTATGTCCAATGAACATTAGCATCCACAGTGAGATGTATAGAAAGTGTAAAATACATACCAGATTTTGAAAGCTTAGTATGAAGAAGAGAATGTAAAATGTCCAATATATTTTTACATGTTGAAATATTTGGCAAATGTTGGATTAAAGTTTCATTAGTATTTTCACCTGCTTTTTATGTTTTTAAATGTGGCTACTAGAAAATTTAAAGTGGGCCGGGTGCAGTGGCTCAAGCCTGTAATCCCAGCACTTTGGGAGGCCGAGGTGGGTGGATCACAAGGTCAAGAGACTGAGACCATCCTGGTCAACATGGTGAAACCCCGTCTCTACTAAAAATACAAAAAATTAGCTGGGCATGGTGGTGCGTGCCTGCAATCCCAGCTACTCAGGAGGCTGAGGCAGGAGAATTGCCCGAACCCAGGAGGCGGAGGTTGCAGTGAGCCGAGATCGCGCCATTGCACTCCAGCCTGGGTAACAAGAGCAAAACTCCGTCTCAAAAAAAAAATAAATAAAAAAGAAAATTTAAAGTGACCTATGTCGCTCATGTCATACATAGTTCCCTTAGTGTAGAGGTAGACTGTTATAAAGCCAGTGAAACTTGACTTATTTATGTAAGCATATTTTCTGAATAATCACCTAGCTATCCAGAGTGAGTAAACATTCACTTACTTCAATATTTAATTTCCTGCAGAAAATGTGGATTGGTAGGAAGGCTTTGGAAGTCTGGTAAAAAACTTTGTGTTTTAAGAATGAAATTAAACAGTTTAGACAAGAATCTGAAATAGTATTTAGGGTTTAACAGTGTTTGTAAAAAATTGTTATCTTTGCTCTAGTCAGGCCTGATTTAACATTACTTTGGTTAAGATATATTATCATTTTGGAAATTTTGTGATTTACATATAATAAAATGTAGCTTAGGAAATATGCAACCAAAATGTTTTTATCTTCTCTCTAACCTGAAGAATTCTCTACTACTCTAACCTCCAAAGAACGTATTTGATTTAGGTAGAAATCAAAGATGTCAAAAACAAAACAATTAATGGAAAGACTCCAGTAATTTTATAGATTACCCCTACTCTCCATCAGCATTGTTAATTTAGACATACTAGTGCCCACTACTTTTTCTCAAAAATTCCCTACCAGCTTATATGACAGTGGTAAAAGAATTCAATAAAATATGCTTAGCTTGAAAATCTAACCCAAACATAATTTAATGTTTTGATGATGATTTAAAAATCATATAATTACAGACACATGCTGGCTACTACGTCTCTGAGGCTCAAAGTTATTTTGAAGATTAGAAGAAGATTAGCTGGGTGTGGTAGTACATCCCTGCAGTCCCAGCTACTAGAAAGCTGAGGTGGGAGGATTGCTCGAGTCCAGGAATTCAAGGTTACAGTGAGCAATGATTGTGCCACTGCACTCTAGCCTGGGTGATAGAGTGAGACGCTGTCTCTAAAAAAGAAAAGATTAGAAGATACTTACTTTGTGGGATTTAACCTACTCTGCCAAAATAATGAATTATAAGTTTCCATCTCCAGAACGTTATCAGACACAACACAGATCAACATTTTCAGGAGATCAGTTAGAATTCAGTTGAGTTTATATAAGACTTACATTACACTCAATAAAGTTTTATGTTCCAGGATAGTTAAGAAAGCTTTACCTTCATGAAAATCCAATTTCATTTCTGACAAAAATTCAGAATTTTGGGTGAATGCCTTGATCCAATTTTGTATTTCAGACTTAATTACAATTTTGATAGCTTGATTTTTAAAAATACGTAAATTTATGTTTCTTGGAAAAGATGAATTCAGAATTTTTTTTTAAAATCCTATACTTTTAGCTATTTTGTTACATGAATTTTGAATGAAAACACTGAGTTTATGAGTTTGACTTTTCCTGAAGCATGACACGATAAGCCCACTGTACGGCACAAAGATAAAACTCTGAGGCTCACTTCGTCTTCGGGGACTGGAATTAATTAAAAGGACAAATTTCCCAAACATTGTGATCCATCACATTTAGCCCTGACTTGTTTTGGTAACAACTGTGTTGCCTAAGAAAAATAAGAAAATGGAACCAATCATTCTGCCCAGTTCAACCACGATATGACTTCCTTTGTCCTGGAAAATAAATAAAGCAAAAAGAAAAACAAAAACTGGGGAGGTTGGCAAGACCATAACCTACGGCTGTGAACATTTAAACCTTATAGAAAACTTGAGATCAATGCCCCCAGAGGAAAACTACCCGACTCTTTACGAGATGTTGCAGATGAAAATGAAAACCAATCAACAATATTGAAATGCTAAATCCAAATCTGTACCTTAGACAAGACATACACACACACACACACACAGATCTTGCTACCTGGATGGTGAGCATTACAAACATCGGTCAGTCATCAAAGGAACTGCAAGTCAATGGTATGGAGAGCCTGACTTTAAGCATTCAAAATCCAGTCAGAGCTGGCTTATGACAAGAGACTAATCAAGCAGTCAAACATGTTTCCAGGTCAGCTTTGCTCCTGGCCAAGTGGCGTTGACTGTGGCACATGGTGAGTGGGTGGCAGCGCATCAGGCTCCTGTGTCAGCTGCAGGTGCTGAGCTGGAGCGGAAGTATTTGTAGCTAAATGGAGCTCCTCTGTTTGTTCTTGATGGGCGTGAAGATGTTCCAGAGTTTCTTTGGACAGAGTGATCACGTGCACTGGCTCTGTCTGTGAGGGCCCCATCTGGCTTTCAATCATATTGAGGCTCTGAATGTGTTCTGTTTGCTCCTGTTGAGCTGAGAGAATTAAATTCTGCAGTTGCTCTGGTTGCTGCGTGAGCAGGGTGAGATTAGCAGCCTGGTCTGCAGTCATGTTCTGGGAACTCTCTGCAGTCACAATGCTGATTCCCTGGCTAGGACCAGGCATGAAATTGATGTTATGTACAGAATCGGTTACAAGAAGCTGAATTTCCTGCTCTCCCGAGGTAGAGAGTTGATATGGCTGTAGCTGAAGAATATTCCTGACCTCTTCTGTATTATTACTGCCAGAAATGCTGCTGGCATCTGACACATGCTTCTCCTTGCTATGAATTTTCAAGTGAGCCTTCAAATTGTCTAAGCGAGCAAACTGTAAGTTACACTCAGGGCAGGAGAACGGCTTCTTGCCGGTGTGTAGAATGCAGTGTCTCCTCTTGGCACTGGAGTCAGAGAAGGATTTGCCACAAATGCCACATGAGTATGGCTTTTCTCCTCTACAAGAAATAAACATTTTATTTTTAAAATGGAAATACCTACTTACTACTTCCTGATTATTTAGGGAGAAGCCATCAAGAGTAGTGGAAAATAACTGGCTGCAAGTCATAAGTAAAGGGTTCTCCTACTAACTTAAGGACTTGAAGCAAGTCTCACTTTCATGGGCAGTTTCTAATCTGAAAATAGGGTGGGGGTGGTACCTGAGGAAGGGTGGCAGATGTGATAAAATTTTATGATTCCACAGTATGTATTTCAGATAAGAAAAGAAAGTAGGCTGGGCACAGTGGCTCACGCCTGTAATCCCAGCACTTTGGGAGGCTGAGGCAGGTGGTCAAGAGATCCAGACTATCCAAGGCAGGCAGTCAAGAGATCAAGACAAGGTCAAGAGATCGAGACTATACTGGCCAACATGGTGAAACCCTGTCTCTACCCAAAAATACAAAAATGAGCTGGGTGTGGGTCTCAGCTTCTTGGGAGGCCAAGGTGGTAGAATCACTTGAACTCCCACCTGCACTCCACCCTGGGTGACGGTGAGACCCTGTCTCAAAACAAACAAACAAAAAAGCCGAAGTAATAAACTGCACAGAAAATTCTGCCGGAGTAACAGTTGGGAGAAAACTATATAGGTGACACACGTCACCTCACTGAACATCAGAACCGAATGAGGTCTCCATGTGAGGAAAAATATCTGCAAAACTTTACCGATGGATTCTGATGTGGGTCTGAAGAGAACTCTTTGCTGTGAAAGATTTGCCACAGATTTCACAAGTAAATGGCTTCTCACCTAAAAAGAAGAAACCATTTAACAGTACACATTCAGCATAAGACAAAATCAAAAAAGCACTTCAATTTCACAATATAAACAGAGCTAAGGCAATCCCCTCCATAAGCGTAAATGAATGATGCTCTCACCAAGTATCTACTCTGTACCTAACCTAAGCACTGTGTGCCGAGTGCCAAGAGCATACACAGAAATCATAAGGCATGGTTCTTTCTCTTAAAAACCTGAAAAGTGCAACAAGGAGGTGAGTTACGCCCCATTTACTCCTGTTTTCTCCCCTTAGATATTACACCTATATTACATCTATGCTCTCCTGCCTTACTGCTTGGCTAGGTAGCCCCTTGACCCTAAAAAGAGTCCTGTGTGCTAGGGTCAGTTATGTATTATTCATGTTTCTATCAACCTTCCAAATATATCCAGAACCTGACCACTGCTCCTCCACGGCCACTGCCACTCTCTGGTCCACACCACCACCATCTCTTGCCTCCTACCGGCTTTCTGTTTCTGTTCTTGCTTCCCTGCCATAAACTATCAAAATGGCCACCAGAGTGAGCCTTGATGCAATCAGATCCTTTTATGCTTGGGCTGCAAATGTTCCCTTGGCTTCCTAACCCAAGATAAAACCCCAAATTCTTGGCCCATAAGTGATTACAGATCTGTACCCTATAAACCCCATTCCTCACCCCAAACCTCCCTGATCTTATCTCAGGCTGTCTCCCAGCATGGTTTACTCTCCTCATCTCCTTCAAATCTTTGTTCACATGTTATCTTATCAGCGAGGCTCCATCACCAAGAGCACTACCAACCTTGCCAGGCACTCCTTAGTCCAATTCTCCAATTTAGTTTTTCCACAATGCTACTGCTGCCTCATATACTATATATGTTATTTATTATCCATTTCTCCCTTCTTAAGATAATTTGTGGGCTCCCAGTACCCCAGTGCTGAGAATCTGGCCTGGCATGCCATTTCAGAGATCCCTGCTGAATGAATGAATTTCACGGGGGTGGCAGACATGAGATGTTATAACTGCTCCAGAACCCACTAGGCTTCATTAACATCAGCAAGTGCTTACTCAGTGTTAGTCTGCACACTGAACATACAATGACAGACTATTCATGGCCCCCAGAAACAAAATTAAATAATCATAATGCAGGCAAGAAAACTAAATTGGAAAAAAAGAAAAAGAAAAGCAAGCAGTAAAATCCGCTTAACTGGAGAACAGGAGAACAGCAAGGGAAAAGTGCAATTTGAAGTGGAAGATGGTCAGTGAGCTTCCCTTTCACAGCATATACTGGACAATTCAGGCAAGACATTTCTCCATCGAGGCAGAGGACACCTGTAACAACTTCAACTGAGACACCCATTCCTTAAGTCTATTTAGTTCTCAAACACTGATAGACCATCAACAAAGTACACAGCTAAGAAACAGAAAAGCAAGTTTAAAAGATGGGATGACTGCCTCAAATAACGCACAATCTACTTGAGATGCACAAAGCGATTAAGGAACACAGGACTGTGTTTCACTGAACATTAAAACGAGCGGTGTCAACAATACTGAGTACTGACAGGGTGCTGGATATGGGTGGGGCAGGATCTGGCTAGACTGGAGAGAAGACTGGACCAGGGTGCTAGTCTCAACAGTAAGAGCAGAAGCTGGTGTCAGAAATGGACATAGTGTGTGCTAGGAGTGACAAGGATCACTCTCAGGAGCCAGCAGGCCAAGCCACCAGGAATTATGAATTCCAGGCAGGGGACCCGTAGACCCTCCGGAAGTTTTTAGCAGAAGGACATGTGAAAATACTAAGAAAGCCGGGCGTGGTGGCTCAAGCCTGTAATCCCAGCACTTTGGGAGGCTGAGGCGGGTGGATCATGAGGTCAAGAGATCAAGACCATACTGGTCAACATAGTGAAACCCCGTCTCTACCAAAAATACAAAAAAAATTAGCTGGTCATGGTGGCGTGTGCCTGTAATCCCAGCTACTCAGGAGGCTGAGGCAGGAGACTTGCCTGAACCCAGGAGGCGGAGGTTGCGGTGAGCCGAGATCGCGCCATTGCACTCCAGCCTGGGTAACAAGAGTGAAACTCCGTCTCAAAAAAAAAAAAAAAAAAAAAAGAAAATACTAAGAAAATACACCTGGGAATGATGAGGAGGGTGGGCTGGAGGCCAGAGGACCTCTAACAGGCTATGCACAAGGGCTGGACCAGGAGGTGGCAGGAGGCAGATGGAGAAGCATAAGGTAAGAGGACGGGGCCTGAGAGGCATGGGGACCAGAAAGAAGTGTGTTACAAGAGGATTAGACAAAGGTGATTAAAGGAAAAGGCAGAGACAGGGGTGTGATGAGAGGTCCCGCCCAGGGCGACGTCAACAGAAGCACTGAAGCTGCTCCAGGGTGTGCTTCCAGACCCTTCTCTCAGCAGTCTCCTCCACGATCCCACCCTTCCCCTTCTCCAGTGACTTAAATCCTGGACCCCACTCCAGATAGTATTGATGACTCGCTGCTTCTTAACATCAAAGCTGGATTTCCCATGTCCATCTGCTGAAACCCAGAATAACTTTCTTGGATTGATGACATCATCACCCAGTGCCTGCCCAGCCAGGCACAACAGTCACAGTGACATCTCTCGTTCCATCAGCTGTCACATTCACCTGGCAGCCCAGTTCTGTCTAGACCCCTCAGCATCCTGCCTCCCACTGTGGACCACAGCTTTGTTTTTCTTAAAAAATTACCCATGTTCATTGCAAAGGAATCAAATATTGAAAATACAAAGATATAAAACCTGCTCCACCATTCTCCTCTCTTAAGACAACTGGTTAACAATGTCTTTACAGACAAATCTGTTTGTTTGCAGTCTTACTCTGTGAGGGCATCCAGTGCACGCTGTCTGTCACATCAGTAAAGCCACACTGCCATGTTAAGAGCCTGGGCTGTGTACCACTGTGTCTACTGCCTCAAATATACCTACCTGATCCCTTCCTGGGACATTCAGGTGGCTGCTAAGCTTGTGGAGTTATAAACAACATTGCCTGTGATGAATATCCTTAGGCAAACATCTTTACACAACTCCACGGTTTTCATTTTGGTAAGTATTGCAAAAGTTCCTTCCAGAAGGTTCCCAAATTATAGTCCCACCAACAATACATAAAGATGTGCATTTCCTCGTGTATTTGCCAATCTTGGCAGAAAAGGGACACACGCCAATGATAACTGTGAAGAGCATGGTTTGACACCTGGGTATTTGGCATTCCCACGTGATCTTCTCAGTCATTTCGCATCCTGTGCTCACACCTCTGCTGTGGCTCTGACCACACCATACTGTTTCATAATAGAGGTCACGTAAACTTTGTAAGGACGTGTGATGGTGAGGGGCCCCCAGGTCTCAGGAAGATGGGAAGACCCCAAGTCTCAACATTAATGATCTCAACACACAGCTGAGATTTGGGAAGCTTCAACTTTAAGACACAATGAGGCTGTGAATAGAACTTACTGAGCTTTATCATTTGTTCCCAGGCAGGGCCATCTACCTATGAAGCCCGCAGGGCAGAATCGGTGTTCACCGAGCACCATCCAGGAATAGGACACTGGTGGGGTGGGACTGCGGTGGGGTCAGAGGTGGCTCACCAGGCTTCTCCGTGGCCTAGGCTGATTCCCTTGACTTGCTCCCAGCTCACCATGCAATCTTCTGATCACTAACTTGGCTTTCAGGTATACTAATGTGACGGAGGAGGTGCTGTGGGCAACAGAAAGGTGTAATCCCTTTGTTGAGTTGATAAGTCTCTGGTTTATCACTCCTGTGAACTTGCTTGGCCTGACTGGGTCCCTGTAAACCTGACCTGCGCCAGGTATGAGGGCAAGATGTGAGCAGGAGAGCCTGAGATGCGGCGAACTGGCAGGTACTCTTGTTTGCCTGCTACTTTGCCTCCATCTCAAAGTGGGGATGCTCTCCTAGAAGAACATCTCTAATCAGCCTTTGACTTCTCCAGTGCTTGGTGCAGAACATCTAACCCAGAGAGAGTTTGTGCCTGAAAATCTAAGAGATGAATGACGGATCACCTCCAAAAGATGAAGTCTTGGTTTCCAGCTGAGCATAGCCTTCAGGGCAGGCCTGGCACTTCTCACCCTGGCTATGCTCAATGCCCAGGGAGCAGGGAAGTGGCATGCCAATGCCGTTCACCAACATTAAAGCAGATTCTCTGTGCTGATGCTAGGGACAGATGGGTCATACATAGTTGCTGCTCTTGGAGAGCCCCAATTTTTTGATGGGCTCAATTTCTTTTCATACTTCTGAGTCATGCAAACCACTTTACAGAGGCCCTTCTGTCTCCTTTTTAACCCATCACACATCTTCCACTTTCTCTTCTGCTTGTCAGAGTACACAGGCTGAAACGGGTTTGCTGGAATTACAGGGAGGAGGTCTCCTGTTCCTTTTCATCCCCACTTCAAGTCCTACTGCTACTCACAAAGACCAGAAACCTCACCCCCCCTTATACTCAGACAACAAAACCAAGTGGAAGTGTCTCCTCTGGCACTGTTCAGTGTAACCAAACCAGCTCCACTCTCCTTCACACCTCCTCCACCATCCCTGTCTCCCTGGGGAGCTCAGCACAGCGCTACATAACTATTTGCAGGCACATGTGTACATGTGAAAATCCAGAGTGATGCCTGCATCTCTCCCCTGAACTCCAGACCTGAATATCCAATGTTCTACCCCACACCTGCACACAGATGTCAAACAGACACCAACCAGTCCACAGTCTAACTTCTCATCTGTTCTTCCTAGTCTTTCCCAGTTTTTCCATCTTCCAGTGGCTTTTGCCTCTTCTTTCACCTCCCATATCCAATCATGAGCAAATCATATGCATTCTTCCTTGGAATATATCCAGAACTGGACCACCTGACACCACCTCTGTTGTTCCGAGCCCGACTACTGCACAGCCTCCTAATGGGCCTCTCTGCCTCCACCCTGGCTTTCCCCGACCTCACAGGGCAGCTGGACTGACCCTATTACAACCCTAAGTTATGCCATGTCACTGATCTCAGTAAAGCCACCTCCCACAGAATAAAATCCAAAGTCTTTACTGTGGCCTTCAAAGTACTTTAGCCCAAGTGTGCCCTACAATTCTTGAAGAGTACTTTAAAAACACCAATTCCCAGGCTCCACCTAGGTCAAGTCAATCAGAATCTTGGAGGCTGGGACCAGGTTTTTTTGTTTAAAGCTTCCCAGGTAGTAAAAGCATGAAGCTAAACTGAGAACATCCACCTACACCACAGCCTCCTACTCCCAGCTCTCTGGCTCTGCTCCTCCCAGCATGTCTCCAGCACGTCAAAAACATTCCTGTCTCAGGGCCATGTGCCCAGGGCTCCCCTTGCCTAGAATGCTCTCTCCTGGACATCCTCAATGGCTGGCTGGCTCCCCCACTGCATTCTCATCTCCATCCAAGACGCCACCTCATCTGTGAGACCTAGACCAGTCCATACATAAAAGAGCAGCTCCTGGCTGGGTACAGTGGCTCACATGTGTAATCCCAGCACTTTGGGAGGCTGAAGCAGGTGGATCATCTGAGGTCAGGAGTTCAAGACCAGCCTGGCGAACACGGCAAAACCCCTTCTCTACTAAAAATACAAAATTAGCAGGGCATGGTGGCACACGCCTTTATAGTCCCAGCTACTCGTGAGGCTGAAGCAGGAGAATCACTTGAACCGGAGAGGCAGAGGTTGCAGTGAGCCAAAATTGCGCCACAGCAATCCAGCCTAGGCAACAAGAGTGAAACTCCTTCTCCAAAAAAAAAAAAAGCTCCCCTTCCTGCCCCTTTACCCTGCATTTTATTCCTCAGTGTGTTCACACCACCTAATGTGTTATACTTGTCTGTACTCGGCCTTTCCTGCAGAATCTTGGCCCCTTAAGGCAGGGGCCTGTTCCCATCTCATTCACTGCTGAATCCTCAAAGCCTAAAACTGCCTGGTTCCCAGTAAGTGCTCAGTACACGTGTTAAAATCCATACCCTATGAGATGTTTACTAAATTTAAGAAGAAAAACCTGTATTTGAAAAATAACGTCCAGGCCAGGCATGGTGGCTCACACTTGAGGCCAGGAGTTTGAACAAGACCAGACTGGCTAACATGGTGAAACCCTGTCTCTATAAAAAATACAAAAACTAGCCAGGCATGGTGGCACACATCTGTAGTACCAGCTACTTGGGAAGCTGAGGCAAAAGAATTGCTTGAGCCTGGCAGGTGGAGGCTGCAGTGAGCTGAGATTGCACCACTGCACTCCTGCCTGCGCAACAGAGTGAGACAGTGACCTCCCCACAACACACACACACAAAAACCAAAACAAAAGTCCAGAGCACCATAAATCAATTTGCTATTTACATATTTCCAGTAGACAACAGAATCATTAAATACCTGCAATGGCAAGTTTTTCTTAGAAAAATCTAAGAGGCTTATTTTTAACACATGTTCTTTACCGAAGAAGATCCACTTTTCTGATCTTACATAAAAAAATGTGACCTGCCCTAATCAATCCTGCTTCCTTGTCATCTCTGAAACTGACTTTTCTGGAGGTGGTGCTGCTTAAGAGTTGGTTCTAGAGGAGAAAGTGGAGAAATTCTCAGTGTCTACACTACATTTGGTGTCTGTCACACTTTGCTGTCTTTTCTAAAAAAAATTATCTTGCTGGGAAAGGTGGCTGGCTCATGCCTGTCATCTCACACTCTGAGAGGCTCGGAGAGGTGGACTGCTTGAGCCCAGGAGTTCCAGACCAGCCTGGGCAACATAGTGGAACCCACCTCTACAAAAAATTTAAAAATTAACAATTAGGTAGGTGTGGTGGTATGCACCTGTGATCCTAGCTACTTGGAAGGCTGAGGTGGGAGGATCACTCTGGCCCAGGCCAAGACTGTGATAAGCCATGATCATGCCACTGCACTCTGGCCTGGATGACAGAGTGGGCCCTATCTCAAAAAAAAAAAAAAAAAAAAAAAAAAGAGAACCAGACTCAGACTCACTCTGCTGTGGTATTAAATGAATTGTGACATATGAATAGTGCTCAGTAAGTGATCTCCGTTTTGCTCATCTATAAGAGATGTGATTTCCCCAAAGACAGTGCTGACAACATTCTGCCTTCAGCTTTTAAATTATCCTCTAACACAACTCCCATCCAATTTACAATCAACACTTCCAAACACAGGCTGAGCAAGGGACTCTGAGAAATTTATTCTTCACTCTCCTGAAAACACCCCAGGTACCGGGGGGGACAGACAACATGGAGTTTTACCTGTGTGTGTTCGCAGATGTTTCTTTAGCTGAGACACATCCATGAATTTGCGATGGCAGTCTTTGCATTCTGGTAATGAGTGGCCTTGTCGCAACAATAAAAAAAGTGTCAGTGCATATATGCTCTCCCTGCATTTTCTTCAGTGATTTGTGTTAAAGCACTTCCCTGAAAAATAATCACTTTAAATATGGCACTTTAACAACAAAAATTTTCTCATTAATTTGGTAACAGTTAATATTTTCCTAAGCACCTCAACTCACTGCCTCCTCCGAGAGAGCTAGGATCCTTCCAATTCTAAATGCAGCCTCTCCCTTTTTCCTCAAAGTACTGGTGTGACTGAGGCCACAAATGATCTCAAATGACATGCTGAACCCACATCCATTTCTTATCTTAGTTGGCAAGAAACAAAAAGGAAAACAGGTAGAAGCACGGGAGAGAAAGCCTGGGCTGACAGCCGTGGGTTGATGATGTTTCTGCCCAGGTACCACTAACAACCATGGACTGAAGCTCCCTCGGGCAAGTGGCACTTTTGAAAGATGCCAATTCCGTAGGGTTTCTGTGTGTGGCACCAAAACTGTAGTATACAAATAAAATTCACATGGTGGCAGACAATAACATAAGAACATATAATTTAGACTCTGAAGGCTCTTTCCCCTAAATACCTGTTTATCACCTACAACATGAACCTAATGTTTCAGGAACAGTTTTTGTTCGCATTCTTCCCCCCAATCTAAACATTCTCACTTTACCGTACCTGTATGAACTCGGTAATGGCTCTTTAGTTGTCTGTTCTGGCTGAAATATTTTCCACATTGATCACAGGTAAAAGACTTCTGTCCTGCCAAAAAAACCCAAAACACTAAAACATGCAAAAAACTATAAAGAACTAGAATGCTCATTAATAAGGGAAATACTACAGTGGACCCAGGTCCCCATTTTTCTACAAAAGACCCAAGTGACTTGTTTACACACCCAGAAGCCTTCAGTCTACCACGGAAACACCAATGTGCAAAGGTATGCAAGGCAACAGGGCGTAGTGGAGACTGGGGCAGAACAGGAGAATTTAAGTTTCCCCAAAGGTGTTCAAAGTAAAAATAATTCTAAACGTTGGTGGTTTAATCAAACATGCGTGCACACCAAACTCCCAGCAGCCAGTTTATAAGCTGAAGAATCAGTGCAGAACTCTCAACTGCACTTGGACGGATGCAAAAATCCTCTTTCAGTGACACCACATTGGAAATGATCCTAGGCTGAGAAAACACCGTTTAGGTGTTGGTAATGCCTACCCTGGGGAATGGGAATCTGTCGACAGCTGGCCCTCTGGGCAACCCCCACTACCTGAGTGCAGGCTCATGTGCTCCAGCAGCGAGTGCTTGGTGGTCAGACCCTTGCTGCACACGGTGCAGGTGTACGGCCGCTCGCCTGTGTGCATCCTGGTGTGGACCTGGAGAGAGTGCTTCTGGGCAAAGCATTTTCCGCACTCATTACATTTGAAAGGTCGCTCCCCTGGAAGAAGAGCCCCAGGAGCATGGTGTTAAGTAAGAATCCACACATCTTTCTGTCTCTCCCAAATTAAAATAACAATGGATTTTTAAAAGGTACACATTCCAAAAGGCCAATGAACACGAGAGATATCAGCAATACAATTTTGGAAGCTGGAACAGATGAATCTGAGGCCAGCAGTGGGTAGCACTGATGCAACCCATTTTTTTTTTTTTGTTGTTGTTAACAGGGTCTCACTCTATCACCCAGGCTGGAGTGCAGTGGCACTACCAGAGCTCCTATAGCCTCAACCTCCTAGGGAACAAATGATCCTCCCATTTCAGCCTCCTGAGTAGCTGGGATTACAGGTGTGTGCCACCACCACCACACCCACCTAGCTAATTAAAAACATTTTTTAAGAGACAGGATCTCACTATGTTGCCCAGGCCGGTCTCCAACTCCTGGGCTAAAGCAATCTTCCTGCCTCAGCCTCCCAAAGTGCTGGGATTACAGATATGAGCCACCACACCCAGCCCAATACAACCTAATTTTTAAGACACAATCTCCAAAAAGCTCAGGAATTTGGTGGCACCTGCTATCTCTGGAAACAGGGGTGAGGAAGGACAAATGAAAGTCTGTTTCAAAGGTACTTAGACTCTGATGAAATCTTCCATTCTACACAGCCAGGAGACTGTCCCTCTCCCCAAAAGAGGATGAGAATGTTCTCTGAGGAGGGTTAAGAAAAAGAGGTCTCTGGATTAGGGGTTTCTAGGCACAGCTGAATTGGGATCTGTGGGTAATGCCCCGACTAGCACCAAGGAAGGAGAGCTGTGCAAACCCCAGGCACAATTAGTGCCTGAAGAATACCTTAGTTTATAGTGTTATTACTCAGCTATTTCCTCCACATAATCTTTCTATATAATCATATAGGTATTGTAGTCGGAGCTGTACTGACACATTTAGTGCTGATTTATATAATCCTTCCAAATAACCATATAGTAGTTTGTAGAAGAAGGAATGCCTAGAGCAGTCACAGAACAGAAGCAGTACATGGGAAAACAGCCAGACCAGGATGAGAACCAATGACCCAGGTGGTGGCATCCCTGCCTGAAAGGGCATACGCTGTATGGCAAGAGCCTCTCCTCCTGATAAAGGGGTTGTAGTACCCTGAATCCAGTTCCTGCGGCAAGTAGGCCTCAGGCCTGAGATCCTGGAAATAACTGAGGGAGAAGAACCCCTCTGGTGTGACCAGTCACGGCAGCTGTATACCCTGTCAGTCTTTTCTTGCTTCTGTGCTAGCTCAAATCATCCTCCCATAAATATCTTAAGAGAAGAGCCCAAATCTGTTAGCTCCCACTGCACTGGCTTACAGTATCTATTAGAAACCCTTTGGAGTTTCCAGCCCCAGAAAAGAAGTGATGTGCATGACACCTGCTGCACATAGCCCACCTCCTTGCCTTGGTGACCTAATGGGGGTGAACCCCTTTTCTGTACACGACCCTCTAGTACTGTGCACGGCATAGCCCCCTATTGCGTACGGCCCACCTCTCTGCCCAGGTGACATAATGGGGTGGCCCCCTCGCTTGTGACTCACGTGATTATGTATGTCCTATCATTAAGCCTATACGCGATGACCTCACTCACGACCCTTCCCCCTGCTTGTACCTAATAAATACAGACACTTCTGGGCGTTCAAGGCCTCGCCTGTCTCCGCTCACTCACAGGTGGCGTGGCCCCACCGAGTCCAGATGCTCTTCACCAGTTTTTCAGTGTCCTATCTCTTTACTTCTCAGATCCTGCACCTCAGCACAGCAAAAGGGACACCCCACAACCCTGTGGGGCCAACAGCCCTACAGGGATCACCATAGGAAGAGTAAGTCAACATTTCTATCTGGGATGATGAGACTCCCTGACTCCTTCCCCCTCCTGCCCTGGAACTGGGTGAGCAGCCAGGCTTAGTGCCTCCAAGTGGGAGAGAAAAAGCGTCTTCCACTGGAACATGTTAGGTACAAGGTGAGAGAGCAAAGATGTGGAAGTCAGGCACCAGCAAGGACACGGGCCCAGCCGCACCACCTCTAGAGGGGTTATGGCAGGCCTCTATAACAACTGTTTCAGTACTGAGTGGGTAAGTTAAATATTAAAAGCCAGTGCGCTTGTACAAAGGCTGGAATGTAACAAAAGCCCACCAAGAGTCTTACCTAAGCTTCTCCTGGGCCTTAAAGTATGACAAAATAATGAAGGAATTCTTAACAGGACCCATTTAGGATCAAACAAGCTTTACTGGGGGTCTGAAGGAACTCCCCAAACCTCCATGGTTTAGCAGGAGATAAGGGTACTCACCCCAGCACCTAGACTCATTTAGATTAAAGAAACTTACTAAGACTCCAGAAGAAGGTCTTCGGGACTCAGATCTTAGTTACAGATTAAAAGAAGTTAATCACCTATGTCTTAGATGAATGCACACTTACACGTAGACATGTAACTTAGGAGGTATATAAGCTCTGAAAAACTTTTTAAATCTTGAGTTGGTCTGGCGATAACTTTCAGGACTTCTCCCTGTAACTGGTTACAGAAATAAAAACTATCTTCCTCCCCAGTTCATCTGCATCTCATTAGTGGGCCGTGAGAAACAGAAGCCGGACCCTTGGTTTGGTCTAGGAACAAGGTTTTACAGGCTCTCTTATACAAAACATTAGTTGGACATGCTGGCAGGTGCCTATAATCCCAGCTACTCGAGAGGCTGAAGGCTGGAGAATCGCTTGAACCCAGGAGGCAGAGGTTGCCTGGGTTCAAGTGAGTCAAGATCACGCCACTGCACTGCAGCCTGGGCAACAGAGCATGACTCGGTCTCAAAAAAAACAGTGAAAATATAACCTACTACAGTTCAACAAATATTTCTCAAGTATCTACTTTGTTCAAAGTACCAGAATTCCAGGTCTTCAACCTACCTGTAGCTGAAGTCTTTGGGGAGCTTTTAAAAGCACCCAGGCTCCAGACAATTAAATCAGAAGCTTTGGGGTTGAGGTCCAGGCACTGGTAGTTTTAGAAGCTCCCTAGGTGATTCTAATTTGCAGGCTGAGAACCACAGTACCAGATGCTGCTAGGTAACAGAAGACTCAAGCACCAGTCCCTACACTGTACTTAAGCTTACAATTAAGTTGAGGGATAGACAAGTGGCAACAACAACCTGACCCAAAGCAGAGTGAGTTTTAAGCACCCGAAAGGGCTCAAAGGAGGAAGGGATTTCTCCCTAGGGCTGCAGTGTCCAATTTGGTAGCCACTAGTCACACGTGGTTATTCAAATTTAAATGAAAATAAAATGTAAAATTCAGTTTCTCAGTCACACTAGGCACAATTCAAGTGCTCAAAAACCACGTGGCTTCTAGCCACCACATTGGACAGTGCAGATGTAGGAATATTTCCATCATCACAGAAGGGTGACATTGGTTAGTGCTGGGCTAAAGGGCCCAAAAAAGGGAAGGCATTTAAAGCTAAATGGCTGAGTTAGAAAGTGGTCCACACAGACTTGGGCCAAAGCATGGCTATGGTCAAGACGAAGAATGTTCAAGAATCAGAAAGTAGAGTACACGGGGCTAGATCTTGATAAGTGGACATTAAAGGATTCAATCAACAACTACAAATGAGAGAAGTTGTTGAATCAGGCTACCTGGGTTCAATCCGAGTTCTCTCACTAATGGGTGACTCTGGCAAGTTATTTAAGCTCCCTAGAACTTGGTGGCTTCATCTGTAAACTATGCACTTTTTTAGGAATCCACTGTTACATATTAGTAAATACGATTTAATCATACAATGTACAATGGGGATATTACCTACCTTGCAGGACTGTGAAGAAAATTAAGTGGAATAACATGCATAAAGGCTTTATTGCAATGCCCATCACATAGAAGTTGCACAGAAAATGAAAGTTATTATCATCACTACTCCAAATTCAGAAACACGCTGCAATAAGCCTTGAAAGCACCATTACCTGTGTGGCTCCTCTGGTGGATTGCTAAAAAGTGATTATACTTAAAGACCTTGCCACAGTCTTTACAACGAGCTTCAGGGCCTCCAGGGCGCTTTCTCCTTCCACAGATCCTCTTGGCTGAAACATGGTCCTCCTGATCCCCAACAAGTTTGTAATCTTTAAGTTTGACGGATCTCCGAATCATCCGCTTGCTGTACCGACTCTGGCTGGCCTGGCCATCCTGGGTCTTGGGATCATAGTTCTCATCTTTTTCAACTGGGATTTCCTCCTCTCTACTTGGCTCACAAGCAGGCTCCGATTCTTCCTTTTCTTTTGCTGCAATCTGCTCATTCAGTACACCACTGTCTCCTTTAACCACAAAGTTTTGTCTATTCTGAACGGAATTGTTCACTCTTAGCTGTATTTCTTCCTCTGCAGCCAGTTCTGATTTCTCCTCCTGCGGTGTGTTGACTTTCTTCGGTCTTCCCCGTTTCCGCTTTGGAGGATCGTTTTTCTTATTAGAGATAACAACCACTGGAGCACCAGCAGTGTTCAAAGTTGTTGGCTTTGGGGAGCTGTGATTATTTTGCAAGTCTGTGTAAGCCTTTACCAGGTCGTAGACTTTTAAGAACTGAGCAGTAGCCAGGATTTGTTCTGTACTTTTGTCACTGGCATGGAGATAACCTGTGTAGATAAATTCCAGCAGGATACCAAAGGTGTCTGCAACCATGCCTTCCAGCATATAAATGGATTGGCCAATCTCACCCTCTTCTGCAAACATCATTGAGAAGTATTCACTACTGGCAGCAAGTAAGGCTTTGTGGGCCCGGAAATGCACGTTCTCCACGATTAAAGTAATGTCACAGAGGAAGTCTTTCTTCCTCTGATCCGCAAAACTGGCCAGGACAGTGTCACTGTGAGTGACCGAGTGTACGACAAGCTGCCCAGAAGGATCTGGCAATGTTTCTGCCATTTTCTTCAGAAGCCACGAAGGCTTAAATCTGAAACAAGAAAACAAGGTTTAAAAAGGAGGAAGCACTGTTTAAAAGGTTAATACCAGCCCACATATCTTCCTATTCACATCATTAACTGAATTTTACCATTACCATTTTTAGTTAATTGCCTGTCTAAAAACTTAGCTCTGGGCCCAGACGCAGTGGCTCACACCTATAATCCCAGCCTGACAAACATGGTGAAACCCAGTGTCTACTAAAAATACAAAACATTAGCCAAGTGTGGTGGCGCATGCCTGTAATCCCAGCTACTCAGGTGGCTGAAGGCAGGAGAATCGCTTGAACCCAGGAGGCAGAGGTTGCGGTGAGTCAAGATCACGCCACTGCACTGCAGCCTGGGCCACAGAGGAGGCCAAGGCGGGTGAATCGCTTGAGATAAGCATGGGCAACATGGTGAGAATCCATCTATACAAAAAATATAAAAATTAGCCGGGCATGGTGGCGCCTGCCTGTGGTCCCAGCTACCGGGGAGGCTGAGGCAGGATCATCACCTAGGCCTGGATGTTCAAGGCTGCAGTGAGCCGTGATCACGCCACTGCACTCCAGCCTGGGCGACAGAACGAGACCCCCACCTCAAAAAATAAAAAAAAAAAACTTAGCTCTGGATTCTTATTCCTGCCGCACATTACCTAGCTGGGTGACTCTCCAATACTCATGGAACAGTTCAGGGTGTGCCTTCTCTAAAATGAAGGAATGGGAACAACCATCTCCAAAGTCCTCCGCAGCACGAACTTTCTATGATTGCACAACTATTTCAAGGTGAACGAAGCCGCCTCCATCTTCCAGATTATTAGCCATTTCGTGTGAGGGAACCAATGTGAAAAGAGTGAAGAAACATGTATGTACAAAGTGAATGTGAGGTAGCGGCAATAACAGAGCAATAACGTAAGCCGCGTGCGGCCGCCAGCCAGACGTGGGGCGGCGCGGAGTCCCCGGAACCCCGGGTCGACAGAGCAGGGAGAGGTGGCGCGCAAAGACCCCCCGCCTCCCGGCCCAGGCCCCGCGAGCCCGCCCCTGGAGCAGACGGCTGCGGAGGGGTCGGTGCGGCCGACCTACCTCTCAGGGCGGCCGGTGGGGTCCGGGTCGCCGCCAGCCCACCTAGCGGCCTGGCGGGAGACCCGCGCCGGGCCCCGCTGGCCCTCTGCTCCACTCGGCCAGTCTCTGGTGCTTCTGCGCCGCTCCGGCTTCTGCCCCTGCGCCGCCGACGAAGCCACGGCCAACCCGGAAGCGCGGCGCCGAGAGCAGCCTGCGCGCGGACGCCGGACCACGTGGCCCGCAGGCGCCCCTGGAGGCGGGGCTCACCAGAGCTGCGGGGCGGGGCAGGGAGGGGCAGCCGAGGCGTGACGAGACAGCGGGCCGGGAGCCAGGGGCCGCGGCGGGGCGGGGAGGAGCGGCAGCAGTTTGGGGTCGGGGGTCGGGGGTCGGGGGTCGGGGGGCGGGGCGGGGCGAGATAGAAGGCCCGGGCCTGACGCCGGGGCGGGGCGGGGCGCAGCATGGGGGAGGACGGGGGCAGGCGGCGGGGCGCTGGCCGGGGCGGGGCGGGGCGGGGCGGGGCGCAGGCCGGGGCGGGGCGGGGCGGGGCGGGGCGCAGCATCGGGGGAGGGACGGTGGCAGGCGGCGGGGCGCTGGCCGGGGCGGGGCGGGGCGGGGCGGGGCAGGGCGGGGCGCAGGCCGTGGCGGGGGGGCGGGGCGCAGCATGGGGGAGGACGGGGGCAGGCGGCGGGGCGCTGGCCGGGGCGGGGCGAGGCGGGGCGCAGGCCGGGGCGGGGCGGGGCGGGGCGGGGCGCAGCATCGGGGGAGGGACGGTGGCAGGCGGCGGGGCGCTGGCCGGGGCGGGGCGGGGCGGGGCAAGGCGGGGCGCAGGCCGTGGCGGGGGGGCGGGGCGCAGCATCGGGGGAGGGACGGTGGCAGGCGGCGGGGCGCAGCATCGGGGGAGGGACGGTGGCAGGCGGCGGGGCGCAGCATCGGGGGAGGGACGGTGGCAGGCGGCGGGGCGCTGGCCGGGGCCGGGCGCGGGCCGGCGCCCGGCGGAGGGCACCGCCCGGGAGCCCAGGCAGGAGCGACCTTTTCGGCGAATTGGGGGCAATGGACAGGAGAGGCGTTGTAACCCTGCACTTTGGGAAGTTTTATATCGTATTAAACTGTTAGCTTGACGCCAATACCTTAATCAATTTTATCTCTTCTTTGACACTGAATCTGGTGTTACTGGATGTGTAAAGGCATGAATCGCCTTTACTGTCTTCATTGTCGTCATCATCACCATCATCATTATCTAGTGCTAATATAATAACTATTACTTATCTCCTAAATGTTTTTCATATCTGCCTCCTTTTCATCCCCACTCCCGATGCCTTAGTCCAAGGGAATGAAGAGAGCATTGCAGTCGGAGAAACCTGAGTTCTGAGAGATCTTGGGCAAATTACTTACCCTCACAACTTCTTTACCTTTTTGCAGATGTTAATACTAGTGCCACTTTGGTAGGGTTGCAGTTACGTAAACAAGATTAAGTATGGAATGGGCTTAGGAAGTGCCTGGTTTAATTCATCTGCTGTGATTAAAATGATCATTATTATTCAGACTTTGATCATCTTTCTTCAATAGACTGTTTAGGGTTTCTTTGTGATTTCAGCTGCAGTTTTGTTCCCTTTAATACGCAGGAGTACAGAGGATCTCTCCAAGTGTGTATGAGATCCAGAGTCTAGAGTCACTCCTTGGCTTAGAATCCATGTGGCTCTCACATACCCTCTGGATAAAGTCCAAGCTTTTTTTTTTTTTTTTTTTTTTTTTTTTTTTTTTTTTTTTTTTTTTTTTGAGACGGAGTTTCGCTCTTGTTACCCAGGCTGGAGTGCAATGGCACGATCTCGGCTCACCACAACCTCCCCCTCCTGGGTTCAGACAATTCTCCTGCCTCAGCCTCCTGAGTAACTGGGATTACAGGCACGCGCCACCATGCCCAGCTAATTTTTTGTATTTTTAGTAGAGACGGGGTTTCACCATGTTGACCAGGATGGTCTCGATCTCTTGACCTCGTGATCCACCCGCCTCAGGCTCCCAAAGTGCTGGGATTACAGGCTTGAGCCACCACGCCCGGCCCCAAGCTTCTTAATATGGTCTACAAGCCCAATCCAAATCTACTCCGCACCTGCTTCCATCCATTTGTTTCAGCATTTTCTCTCTTTGCCAACACCTAGTTACTTATTATTTATTATTCTGCCCATTTCCAGATTCCCAACATGCCATCTATAGCCTCCCTGATTTTGAACCTGGAGGTGTAATTAGCAACCTGGATCTTACATTGTTACTAGTTTTTATTAAAACTAGCTTAAGGCACATGTGCTCCTTCTTTGTGGTTTCCCTTTCATCTTGAATTGTTCCTAAATCCTCTGGATTTGTAGGGGTACAAGTGGGATGGGGGAGCACTCCCTGACTTCTGCATACCAGCAGGAAGTTAGCTGCCTCATTGTTTCTTGCTGCTACAAGGGCTGCAGCCAAAACACTGGCCCTCCAGAGGTCCTCAGTGGCATAAGATGACTCAGTGCCAAGGTAAGCCAGGTACTCCCATTTCCTCATTCAGTCATTGCTCACTGGAGCACAACTCTGTGAGGGAAGACTCAGTCTGGAGGATCTTCCAGCATTAGCCACCCACAACACAGACTAGCCCTTTTTTCAAGGCAATTTTGCTTTGGATCCATATTGACTTTTTCGAAACTTTTGTTGTTGTTAAGGCCAGTTACAGGCCTTCTTCACAGGTTAAGAAGGCCCTAACAGGTGACATACATTCATCTAACAAATATTTATTGAGTGCCTACTAAGTGCCAGACATTGGCATCAGGTGCTGGGGATACAGCAACTAACAAGGCTTTTGCTCTCATGAAGCTTACATTCTACTAAGGGGAGACAGGACAAGTATACCAGTAAATGAATTAATATTATAGTTTCAGAAAGTGTTAAATTTTATAAAGAATGATGATGAAGACTGACAGGGAAGTGAGATCAGGATAGGGTGACATTTGAACTGAGATCTGAATGACATGGAGACACCTGGGGAAGATCTAGAATAAGAACGTTCTAGGCAAGAGAAAAGCAAGCATAAAAAGCTCTGAGATTAGGAAGATGCATCTGAGGAACAGCAAGGACTGTGTGGCTGGAGCACAGTGAGTGAGGGGCGGTATGGCAGCAGATGGAGTGGAGAGTTGACAGATTTCACAAATAAAGACACAGGACACCCAATTAAAAAAAATAAATGCTGGTCTCAGCCTCCCAAGCTGGGATTACAGGCATGCCTAGCCAAAAAAGAATTTTTTTCATATAAATTTAGTGTGAAGAGTGTACAATGTTTATAACATCTCCAGTAGTGTACAGCAATGTCCTAGGCCTTCACATTCACTCATCATTCACTAGCTGACTGTTGAGCAACTTCTATGCCTGTAAGCTCCATTCATGGTAAGTACCCTATTTAGGTGTACTTTTTTTTTTTTTTTTAATCTTTTAAACTGTTTTGTTTTGAGACAAAATCCCACTCTGCTGCTCAGGCTGGAGTGCAGGGCATGCTCTCAGCTAACTATAACCTCTACCTCCTGGGCTCAGGTGATCCTCGCATCTTAGCCTCCTGAGTAGTTTCGACTACAGACACATGTTACCACACTCCGCTAAATTTTTTTGAGGGGAGGTATTTTTTTGTAGAGATAAGGTTTTGCCATGTTGTCCAGGCTGGTCTTGAACGCCTGGGCTCAAGTGCTCTGCCCACCTAGGGCTCTCGAAGTGCTAGGATTACAGGCATGAGCCATCAGCATACTGTATTTTAAGTGTCTTTCTTATGTTTTGATATGTTTAGATACATAATACTACTGAGTTACAGCTGCTTACAGTACTCAGTACAACAACATTTTGTACAGGTTTGTAGTGTAGGAGCAATAGGTTGTACCATATAGCCTAGGTGTGTAGTAGACTATCCCATCTAGGTTTGTGTAAATTCACTCAGTAGTGTTTGCACAGTGATGAAATCACCTAATGATACATTTCTCAGAACATATCCCTGTCATTAAGCAATGCATGACAGATACAGCTGGTTTCTCAACAGCAACGGTAGAAGCCAGAGGTTGGTGAAATGATACTTTCAAAATTCACCTAAAATTTGTTTTTATACACTACAATTATCATGGACAAGGACAAACAATTTTGGTCAAACAATAAAAGTATTAACCTCCAACAAACCCGTACCATAGAAAGAAAAATAACACCAAGAGGAATATAAGAAGGAGTTGTAAGCAAAAAAAAAAAAAAAAAAAAGAGAGAAAAGTAAATATGAGGGAAATCTCAACAAACATCGATTATGTAAAATCATGTCTAATTTGAAGAGTAAACAAATAACGTAGATCTAAAATCTTGAATGAAAATACAATGTAAGATGGGAAACTGGTTATCCGAATTCCAGTGTTTTAAGGGTACAGCTACTGATTACCTTGAGGCTTTACATGCACATGGTGAAAGAGTCAGGGACAGCCACTTAATTAGTACAAATAGAGCACATACTTCAAACGTTGTAGAGGAGATAATGGCATCTAAAAGTTATTGGTCAATGCCAGGTCAGGTGCAGTGGCTCATGCCTGTAATCCCAGCACTTTGGGAGGCCAAAGCGGGTGGATCACTTGAGGCCAGGAGTTCGAGACCAGCCTGGCCAGTATGGCAAAACCCCATCTCTACTAAAAATATATAAATTAGCTGGGTGTGGTGGCACAGCTACTTGGGAAGTTGAGGCATGAGAATTGCTTGAACCCAGGAGGCAGAGGTTGCAGTGAGCTGAGATCATGCCGTTGCATTCTAGCCTGGGTGACAGAGCAAGACGCTGTCTAAAAAAAAAAAAAAAAAATAAAGAAGGAAAAAGGAAAAGATGGAGAGGATGTTGAAAAGGTAGGAAGAGCCAGATCATGTAGTCTTTTATCAAGGAAAAGGAGTTTGGATTTTATTTTAACTGAAATAGGAGACCACTGGAAGATTTTTCAAAAGGACTGTTGAATCTGACTTATGTATTCAAAAATTACTACAGCTGCTAGATGAAGAGTAGATCCTAGAGGGACATGAGTGGAGGCATAGAGATGACAGTGACAGCAGTGTAAAATGTGAGAAAAGCCCATATTCAAGGTAGATTTAGGGGATAAGTCTTTCTGACAGGACTTGCTGAGAATGGATGTGGGGAGTGATGGCAAAAATGCAATCAAGATTGACTCCTGGGTT